CGCGTTGCCGGCGCTTTGTTTATGAATTGGCGGAATTTGAGGGATCGAGAGCCACCGTCGCGTCTGCGATTTCTCCCATCGAGTCTCTTTGTTTCGTCGCGCCGCGTCGCGTCTCGCGCGTGCATTCAGCACGCTCGTCGCATGTCGCGAACCTCGTCGTTAGGGTGCGACGAGCTCTCGCGTGTGGCTGGCGCGATTTCGAAATTGAAAATGGGTCAGGCGAGGTTCCCGGCGGACACGGGACGGCGGGTTTAATGCGAAATCGATGGCGTCTCTCGTAGGAACATTTGACAATCGAGAGATTGTCGTCGGCTCGATTATTACAGGGATAAATAATTCCGCGAAGAGCCAGCTAGAAAAATCCAGCCGCGGTGTCGCGCGGATGAACGACTGCGAGAACGGGGGAGAGAGAGAGAGAGAGAGAGAGCGAGCGAGCGCGAGAGAAGAGACGATACACAGGGACACGATCGGTTGCGGGATTGGCCGAAACCCGGGCCAATTCCCTCTCCGGGGATGGCAATCGTCACGTCCACCGAGCCCGATAACGGCCGCTCTGCCTCGGGCAATTTAATTCAGACATAAAAAATAATCCCTTTGATCGCGCGCGCGAGTCGGCTGGAAATCCGCCAACCGTCACGGAAACTTCCCTTTGTGGCCGACCCCCGCTTTTATACGCCTTCGACAACAGTTTCGATTCAATCCGCCCCGTCGCTCCGCTCCGCGCGCGGGCTCGGTTGTTACGGCACACGCCGGCATGCCCCAGACCTATTTTTCAGCCGCGAAGTCGGTGAGCGCGACAGCGTCGTCATCGTCGTCATCATCGTCGTCGGCGGGCGCTCGCACCGCGTGCGGCGATCCCGAAGCCGGTGATCTACGTCCGGACTCGTTTTAGGACAGAGGAAAAGATGCATCGGCGTCGTTGCGGCACGCTCGATTTCCGCCGCTTCCCCTCCCCGCGAATTCATCGACTTTCGTTTCCCTGGATCGCACAGAGACTCTCAATCTACGCTTCAGCTCTGCCAGAGGTACGAAGTGACGGACAAATGTCACTCGAAGCACGTTTTCTCTTTCACCTCGTCGCGCGGACTCTTTATTCGTCTCGCAACCGACGCAGTTGATTACACTCTATGTGTAACCTAACGAGACGAGCAACGAGATCGCGTTAACCGCAGCTTGATGGCAGCTTGATCCTTTGTTTGTTATCCTCGAGTTTATTTTGAGTCAACGGATAATAATATTCTCAGCGACCTTTCTTATCGCTCATGAGATATGGTGTCTTCCGACCTCGCGATAGACGCTTCGATTTCGATACGCACTGTTGCCTCGTGGAGGCAAGGATCGTCCTGGCGGTAAACCGTCGCATTGACTGTCGCCTCGCAGCCATCTCTGCTCTCGTTGACCGATTATCGACGCCACCCTCGTCCTTAGAGCTCGCAAATCCCGTCGGCTCTCCATCGTAGGGATTCCGCTCGTCTAACAGCAGGTGGCTATTAGAGTCGGGCAGTCTCGTCCTCCGCCAAGGACCTCCACGGTCCCCGAGGTCGTTCTAACCCGAGTATTCGATTTTCCCGGAGCGTGCTCGCGAGATCGAGATAATCCTGCTGATCGCGGCTCATCTCATATCGACGGGATAAAGTCCGTTACAGGACGATACGTTTATCAGGCCGAGGCGCTTGAAGGAAGCTTCGTGCTGGAAGCCTCGTTCTCTTATGCCTCCTTCGCCGCGTTTCTTTCGCGCGGAAAATGGCGCGAGTGGAACGTTCCGCAGGCGAAGCTATGTCGATTGCGATTGTTTATCGTAATTACGATGAGGAAAATCGCCGTTTGACCTCTGTGTAATTTCCCCGCGGATGTTTCATCAGCAACGATAAATCGCGCTGGAGTCTCGTTCGTGTAATGATTTCCATATCCTCGCTAGATGTCTCCCAGCTAAATGAACGCACGCCCCTATGAGTATCGACTGCACATTCCTTTTTTTGCGCGTTTCGACGCGGAAACGCCGGCGGAGTTATTTGTGAAGGAATTTACGGGATATAATCCTGGGGAAAAAATCGCGAGTATTTTGCGCCGCGCGACATAGCGGGGTTATAATCTCGTCGTAGGATGAAGTTCACCCACCACCCATCGCCCATCAGTCCACTGTCCACCGCCCGAGACGCGTCATCTGTATGTGATTATCCAAATCACTGCGGTTAATTAAATCGCGATGAGATCCACTGCGATCAGCGGTCATGCAAGTAAGCGATGATTGCACGATCGCTTTGATTAACAGCGTTAAAAAAATCGGTACATGCATTCGCGGAAACTAGTGGACGCGCAACCGCGCATCCTGGGAAGGATCTGTAAGATCCAGGTTGAGACGAGATGCGCTGCGCTGAGAAATGCTGATACACGCGATAACCAAGTAGACCTCTCGAAAATGACATGCGATACAGTCATTACTTAATCAATGTGTCAATTTCCCACTTTGTCCCCAGCGGGAAAAGAACTTTCGAGCTGCAAGGGTCTCGAGAAAATTGGGGGAGGTGAGCGGAGATTATTATCGGCGCGCTGTGAGATCGCGGTAGCTCGAAGTAATCCACTCGTATGAGATGCAGCTCGCGAGAAATAGGAATCGATGTAGAGATGCCCCAATTTTTGTTGCAATATCTGTACAAAGAACGGGCAAAAATGTGATAACAAAGGCAGAGATGAAAAAGTACACGCGAACGAAGTGAATAATAATGAATAATAACAGAAACCGATACCGAATATGTTTCTGTATAAATAATAAAGAAATATCTCCGATAAAACGTAATAAATAATGAACGAAACGTATGTATGTTCAAACGCAATAATATTTATTAATTAACAATTTGAGTTCCAAACAATACTGGGCGGGTCATCGATCGTTTCTAAAAAAATTAAAAAAAAAAATAAAGAATAATATTGAAGGGAACACAGATTTTTTAGATGAAAAATTGTCTCATAGCTAGGTGAATTATGCTGCGTAGAAGCTGTAAGTAACGGCTGTTTGTTACTTGTCGGTTTCTTCAATATTCGCGATTTTGGAGCTGACACAATTCAGAGTTCAAATCCTTGTCTCGGAAGAGAAAGCCACAGCATGCGGCGCGTCCATCTTTTCGATTTCTGAATTTTCCGAATCGTCTTCCTCTCCATCTGTGCTCCGTCATTCGCGATCGCTCGGAAGAAACTCGCACGAAATGACGGCAAACATCTAATTAGAAAGTCATTGTCGTCTTAATTGTCCATTCATCCAAAGTTCCGTCCATCCAAAATCGTCTTTCCACATCCCCTCTCTCCTCCTCTCTCTCTCTCTCTCTCTCTCTCTCTCTCTCTCTCGGGGGCACCCGCCGCACCAGCAGCCGAAAGAGGAGACCTCGTGACCGTAGGCGGACGCACACGCGCGCAGAATTTGAGGGATGGCGAAAGAAAGAAAAACTGCGCGAAAGATCTCGTTTTCCGGGTTACGCAAGTCAAGGAAGGGGATAAGGATCGAGCGTGGACGGGACGAGGAAGAGAGAGAGAGAGAGGGGGGGGAGAGAGGAAGAGCGGTGGAAGGTAGAAAGGGAAGGACATACGGACAGACGGACGGAAGGAAGGAAAGAAAGAAAGAAGGAAAGAGCAAGCGTGCTGGTAGAAGAACGAAGCGAGATCGTGCCGCTGCTGAAACACACCGCCCCTCTTGGGTGGGTGGTGGGTGCGCGAGAGCGCAAAGGAAGTAGGATCGGGCGGCAGGGAGGGACGAGAGTGTGCGGACTCGCGGTATGGCGAGGAGGGTTGGAAAGAATTAGGAAGGAAGGAAGAGGAGCTTCGTCTCCTCTATTGAAGGTTGCTCGTGGGAGGAGGAGGTCGTACGCCCTTGAACGAAGACGGGTAACCTGACCCTACGACGTACGCTCCTACCTATCCTTGTCCCCTTCCCTCCCCTTGCTGCTCCCGCTCCTCCCATCCGCGAGCTCTCTCACTCTCTCGAACTCGTCGAGAGAGCAGACAAGCGACCGGTCGGCGCTCTCGGAGAGTAGATCCCGACGACGACGACGACGACGACGACGACGACGACGACGACGACGACGACGACGACGACGACGACGACGACGACGACGACGACGACGACGACGACGACGACGACGACGACGACGACGACGACAACGACGACAACGACGACGACGACGACGACGACGACGATGACGACGACGACGACGACGACAACGACGACGACAACGTCGAGAGGTAGGTGCCTCGATTTTCTGGGTGACGCTTGCGCCTTGGAGAACCTCCGCCCTCACCCCTTCTTCAGTCCTCACGTCGTAGTTGCCTGATCGCGCGACGTTCCTCCGAGTTTCTCAGCGCTCGCACAACTCCGCGTCCATTCTGCTGGAGGGTGGAAAATGCGCGCCAGGGGTGGCGAGCGTGTCGCGCGAGGAGTCCCGGCTCGGCTTTTTGGGGGTGGTCGTCGTGCCGGGAGTACATTCGCGATCCCCTTGCCACCCTTCCTCTCTCCCGTCTTGCCAACAGCCACGGCGCGCGGCGGTGGGGACGCTCGGCCATGTACGTACACGTTGTTGTAACGTACATCGCGCGCAGGGGTGGAAATTCGCTCGTGCGGTGGGGAACCGGCGACGGCGGCGAACAGTGGGGGAGAGAGAGCCCGGGGATCCCCGTGGCACCCCGCGGAGGGGCACAGGGGGTTGATACCGAGGGGCAGGGCTAGACGGGCGAAGACGGAGAGGGCGCAGTGGTCCCGCGACCATCAAACCAACAACACCGTCCCGTGTCGGCGGCGGCGGCACGAAAACGGCGACCCCTTCTTCCTCCTCTTCTTCTTCTTCTCTTCTCTCGCCGCCGCTCTCTTCAGCGACGTCGACGACGTCGACGACGACGACGACGACGACGACGACGACGACGACGACGACGGCGACGACGACGACGACGACGACGACGACGACGACGACGACAACGACGACGACGATGACGACGATGACAACGATGACAACGACAACGACGACGACGACGACGACGACGACGACGATCACGACGCTGCCGCGGCCTTCGAGTCGTTGTCGTCGGCCTCCACCACCGCCGGCCACGACGACGTCGTCGATGTCGAGGTCGATGTAGACGTCGATGTCGACGTCGATGTCGAGGTCGATGTAGACGTCGACGTCGATGTCGACGCACCTACCGGCGTCGTCGACCTCACACGCACCACCGCGGCACGCCACGTCCGCTCATCTCACCGCCATTCTCGCGCCCGAGTCCGATGGATCCCCGTGGATCTCGCGATCCTGCACCCCCCGGGAGCTTCTCCGTCGTCACCTCTGCGCTCGACCTTGGCTCCCGAGTCACGACGACGGCGGCAAGGGAAAAACAGTCACGGACGAGAGACGAGGAAGAGCGTGCCGATCAGAGGCTGTGTCAGGTAACGCTAAGTCTAATCCTGATCCTGAAAGTCCTTCCGTCGAGAGTAACCCTCCCGGAGTCCGAGTAATCTTCTCCTTGACCGACGACGTTCGTTGCGACCGATTAATCAGATACCGCGATCGACAGACGGGATTTCATGGCAATCGTCGATCTTATCTGCGTCCTTTGTCGCGACTTCTTTTTTCCTTCGCCTCAAATCGCCGATATCGCGACGTTTCCCTTCTTTTCTCCGTATTCTTTTCTCCTCATCGTATCGCTTCGTTTGACTCCGAGCTCTTTGCCACCTCTTTGTCACCTCGAGCGATTTATTTTTGCTATTTTTAGCGCCCGCGAACCTCGGACTGCCGTTGATTTCTTATTCGCGCGTTTCTTTTCAGTCGCGTTTTTTTTATCTTTTATCGATTCGGCAAATCCTTGGGTCGCGATGGGTGTAGTCGTTTCTTCCCGTAAATGGCAATTTTTCTGCATGTGGCTCTTGAACATTGATTGTGTAAACCGTTTGTGATAGTCACAGGACTCTTTCAAGGTCATTTCAGGGTACTTAAACTTTTCCTCCACAGTGACAGTCGTTTAATTGGTGTCTTAATTAATAATTGATAGGTAAATAGGAAGTTGCTTATTTACAATTTGTTTCGCGACTCTTAGGTTTCTTGTCACACATTTATTATTATTATTATTATTCCCACATCTTGAAATTTATTTCCATATAACTTTTCCTTTTACATATTATTTATATATATATTTTAGGAATTTAAAAACAATTTTTTCTCATATATAATATGTTGGTTAATTTTTACTGAACAAAGTTACCTCGAAATTTACGTCCTCTGTGTGAATTTTTCGAATTCTCTTTTTCGAATTCTCTTTTAGTGCTTAAAATTGAAATCGATCATTGGTCGCTCGTGGCGATCGTGGCACTCGAAGCTTTTGTCGAAAGATTATTTCGAATCTCTCAAGATGTTATCGACTTTTTAATTTTATTTTTACCGAACGTTCGCTCTCGCCTTGAAAATTCAACGAGCAGGATAAATAACATGTAATCAGTCGCAAGTCCGTAACTCGAGATTTCTATCAATCGAACGATCCGCCATTCGTTCCTAGCCAGACTTTCGACCGCGATATCTACCGGGTGGTTGTCCGTTATCGCCTCTTATCAGGTGCACGCACGTGGACGTCATTTCCTTTACCGCGCACCGGTTCTTTCCTCGAAGCACCCGACTCTTGCCGTAACCGCTCGCGAAATACGCAAACTCGCGCCGATCAAAAAGCGCCTTTGTTTATCTTTTTTTCTCCCCCCCCCTCTCTCTCTCTCTCTCTCTCTCTCTCTCATCAGAGAGATCCCATATTACTCCAATCCGGCGACTTTGAATTACCTCGAAGGAACCTTTTCCCTTCATCCGCTCACAAGAGAGGAACCGACATATGGCTCATGAATTCCGATAAAATCGAACAACGCGCGCGCGCGTCAAGTCAAGCCATATGTCGCGCACATTTCAATTACCGTAACCATTTCGATTCGTCGAATTGTTTCGTCTGAAGAAGGACAGCGCCCTTGAGTGATTGTACCCTTCGTTCCGGAAATCCCTCCTGGGCACATTCCGATAGAAGCTGGCTGCGAGAGAACTCTCTTTCTCTCTCAAAGTCCGGCAAATTTCCGAGAAGAAAAGAGCGATCAGGTAAAACAGGTCGCGAAAGTCCGTAACTGCTAAATTCAACTTGCCGTGTCTCTCGTAATATCACCAATCTCTTGTGTCGAGTCCTCTCTCTCTCTCTCTCTCTCTCTCTCTCTCTCTCTCTCTCTTTCTCAGCCCCCGACAGAAAGTTGACGATTCATGTCGGCGCACTCGAGCGCAGGTCCCCGAGATCCTTGAAGCTCGCGAGATCTCGGAGAAGCGGAAGCAGAAGTAATGATCGATCTCGCAACGGCTCCTCCTTCTACCTCCCCCTCCCCACCTCCTCTCTCTCTCTCTCTCTCTCACGGCGTTCCCCCGATTTTCGTGACACCCGGTACGCGCGAGGTGTTCCCCCTATTCCGCGTAAGTACATTATGGTGTGTACTGTTGTTTTATCAGTAGTGCAGGATCGCCATGGCTACGAAGTATGAATAAGCCGTAGTCGGTACGTCGCCGCTGCTGCTGGCCGCCTAATTACCATTTTCGTAATTTTCTGTCACGAAACTGACTCCGGCGAGCGCCTGAAATCGGTCCTCGATCACGATCGCCGATCCTGCCGGCGCGTCGAGCCGGGTCCTCGAACTTCCGCCTCGAACCTTCGCCTGGAAACGCGAGCAGCGCGGACGGTAGGGTCGTCCTCGCGATCTCGGACGTGTATGTACTTTGCTGGCAAGTAACAGTTAGTAACCTATCGCTCCTATTATTCCGGGCGATCCATCGCAACGATTTCAAGCAATTTCGCGCGATTTACGCGCTACATGTGTAAACGGGTTATATTTAACGTTCAGACTTTTATCGATCCGTCAGGATGTGACGTCGAAGTCGGGTCTCGTCGTCGGAACCGCGACTGAATTTTCCACGAAATCCGCGTCGATCTCCCGGGCTCTCGGATGCGAATTTGGAATCTGCATTTGGAAAAGACTAACGAGGCGATCTCGTTAGTCGTAGTTTTAAGTCAACGACGTTCGCCGGCGAGCGTCATTTCCTCCATTTTCGACTTCGCTCGATCACGATCCCGACGGAATGTCACCTCTGGTGAAAAACGGAGATCGTCCGAGATTCCGGCCGAATTTCGTCATCGATTCGCCGTGGAGTTGACGAGATAATTATAGCCGGACACGCGACGGACAGAGCGTAATACTTATCGATAGATCACGCGATGACGAGCGGACGAATGAACGCGCACGCACAACAAAAACGACCGAAACGAGTCGCGGCTCGCGCGAGGAGGGAAGTCGGGGATGAGAACAAGGCGCGCGCGACAGACAAGAATGTTTACCGCGAGGATATTTCCACAACTGACGGTCTCATTTCCGCCGGCGGCATCGATAACGCCCGATCGACCTTCGCGACGCTCGCGGCCGGCAAGATTCCGTCGTCGTGCTTAACGGAGGCGCGACTAATTGCGCGAGAAGCAGCTCGAAGCTTGAACGATGCACCCGCGGCGACTCATCGGACTCATTGTCAATATGTGATCAGCTGACGTGTCTCGATCGAGGCTCCCACGAGCGGATTCTTATTTATAGCGCTTCGCCCGCCGGACAGCGTGTCGTGTCTCGATAATCGACACGAAAGGACGCGGCGCGCCCCCTCCTGCCGCGGTGGTTGCCTGCGACGCGCCTCTCGAGCGCATTCGAGCAAAAAGCTCCACTCCGAGTTATCTGCTCTTGGTTGCGATTTAGTTGTCGCAACAGCGCTTTGTCCACGGCGGCTTTTTAGGTGGCGGCAGTTGCCTCGGGAGAGAAATTTTTTCCCTCACGATTTTGCAGATTGCCTTCCGCAGTGTCGAATTCGGAATCGCTGCGTCGAATTTCTATGCAGGTCGGCGAGCTCGGTGAGGATCCATTTCCGTGGTTTTTAGTCCCTCCCCAGATTCTGAAAACGGTTTAATGACGTTGCATAAATGTTCCTTTGTCCGTCGAGAGACGAGGCTCTCGGTCGCCATTGTACGTCGCCAAGTGGCTCAGATCACTTGCGGCAAATGGCAGGATTTAAATCCCGCCAACATCGAGAAGCGACAATTGGCAGGGCCCCGGGAGAGACGAAAGTCGGGAGATCAAAAATTGAATGCCGCGGCGGACGGATTTAGCCGCGAGACTCTCGAGAACTCCGCTCGCGAGCCTCGAAGCGAGAATATTCGGCCGCGACAATCCAGACGCTCGGCGCTCTCATGAATCATTAGCGAGCCGGGTCTCGCCGAGTGTAGCCGACTTCAAATTGGCCGTTCCTCAAGAGATGCCCTCGGCGGATGCCGAAGTGGCCGGAGCAGCGGAAGCGGAAGCGGAACCGATCCCGGGAGAGACAAACATCGACGCTGCGTCTCGCGAGAGACGGACTCTTATTGAAGAACAGAAAGGCGAGACAAAGAGAGCCGAGAGAGTCGGCGGACGTCTGCGTTGACGTGGCGTTAAACGAATTCTCGGCCATCATGAGCGACGTCGTCGTCTCTGACCTAGGATCAACCAGCTGCCGTGGGTAGCCACCAGCCTGTCCTGTCATTTTCCTCGCTCGTCCTCGCCCCCGTCCTCGCTCCGTCGCCCTCTTCCTCTCTCTTTCTTTCTCTCTCTCTCTCTCCCCCCCCCCCCACTCTTTCTCGTCGTCGCGCACGCAAAGAGTGCTCGTTTGTTCCAGATACCAGGTAGAACCACGCGGTTCGTCGGCCCGGTACCAGGCCTCATGAATGGAATAGGGTTCGCCAGGATCGATGGAGAGGGCGTGCTTTCAGGCAAGGATTGGTATAGTCGTGGCGTTTCCAACCCCACCTGAGCGAGGGTGCAGCGAGCACTACACGTGCTCGATTACGTCACGAGGACGAGCCATTCAGGTATCGTCCGCGGAAAGAGCAGAAAAATATCGCGCAGGACTCGCCGCGCCGTTCCTCCCCGCGGGATGTTTCACCCTCGCGGTCCCGGCGACGGCGGACGACAGGAGGGACGATCTCCGCGCGGTAAGACGGCATCATCTCCGTCGAGCGACGAAAGCGACGGGAATATAACTCTCTCTCTCTCGTTGCGTAATGCTCTAATAATAATCGCAGTCGGACCAGGCTTGTTGTTTATCGACGATCGATTCGTCGTGCGGAAAAGGGCGCGCGCGACGTCTCCCTCTCTGCGGAAAGGCTCGGGTGAATTTCGCTCCTGTGACGTTTGATCTGTTCAAGGCTTGGCCTCGAGCTGGCTTGATCGGGAAATGTGCTCGTGTCGAAGGAATTGTCGCGAACGTTGGAAAGTCAGCTTCGAAGGAGGAAGAAGTTTGCCGATGCGGTGGAATCCCCAGCGGGCTTCGAGCTCGTTCGGCTGGAGTGGAGAGAGAAACAGCTCCTTTTGACGGGTTTAGCGTTACGTAAATGCTCTTATATAAATAGCTGTTTTATTACGTTATTAAACTTGATAGAACCATCAGCCGCGCGCGCGCGCGCGCGCGGCCGCGTGGATAACGTAGCGAAATATCGAAATATCTCGACCGGCTTCTTCGTCGGCGTCGTTCTCACCAGCCTGCGACTTTATAGCGCTTATAATTAGCTTCATACCGCCACGCCCGATTACACACCCTCCTGCCCTTTCGCGTCCCTCGCGTGGTTGTGTGCGATTCTTCGAAAACTTCGCCGATGATTTCGACGCTGCGTTTATTATGCTTTCGCCGGATAATTTCTTCCGCCGGAGGACGAGCGAGTATCTTGGGGAAGAAAACAAGAAACAAGCGAACGAAAAGCCAGATGACGAAAAATTAAATCGGATTTTCCGGATCGTCTCTTTTTGTTCACGAGTTTTCACGTCGCCGAGTGACATGTATGAAAATATAAGGATTTTTCGACATTTTCAAACCAGATCTCGTTGAAAAGAAATTGTAATAATCATCGGCGGGAGAGTGAGGGGTGAAAGTGACATCACGCTTTGTATCGACAGTAACACCGTCGAGTTATGTCGAGTTATCTCGTTATCTCAGCTCGCTCGACTCGCCCCAGAATCGTTTGCAGACCGTGCGGTGCCCCTTGTCCTTCATCCCCCCGTCGAAGAAACTTTTTTGCCCGCCGATAATAGCAGCGTCGCGCAGATGTCATGACGGGGGCATTTAAATGTCTTCCTATTAAATTCCTGGCCGTTCGGCCAACGCGCGCCGTTGTTCCAAAGCGCGAGGGTTACGGCGAGTTTAAACCCCCCTTTCTGGAAAGTAACCCTGACCCACAGCTCTGGCCGACTGGGTCCCAGCCCTTCGAGGGAATGCCCCATTGTGTGACGGAGAGACCGAGCGCGCAACCCCCTCGTGAGTCCTCCGCGATGGATATGAATTAGCCTTCGGGGCTTGGGCGAGTATAACCACCGCCGCCACCACCACCACCACTTCCACCCCCAGACTCACTCACCGAGGACACGCGCCTTTAAAATCGTGAACCCTCGTTCGCGGAGAAAGTAGCGGAACGACTTTCCGGCCCTCCGATTTTCGCCCCGCTCTCTCGGGAGAAAAAATGCCCGAAGTGATGTTTCAGGGGTGAACAAGACGTCGCGGAGTGTTGATTCTTGCTTGCTTATATCGGACCGCGCGCTCAGCGAAATATCCTTCGGAATTGTCGCGTGACAAAGTCCCACTTAGGTCAGCGAAATATTCTCGAAATATTCAGTTTCTCTTGATCTCTTAAAATTCTCGCGCGAGAACTTGCCCGAGAGTCCCTTTTCGCACACTAGAATTATCAATCAATCTCTGTCGTCTCGAACAAGCACTGGATACCAACGTCAGGGAATAAACGTTGAGACAGGCGGGAAAGTCCACAGTTGAATATTAATAATGGCAACTATTCAAATTGTATTAGACTTAGACAATCGTATTGCAAGGTATGACGCGCGTAGTATACACGATCAGGTCTCATGGTCGGCTCCCTGCCACTAGGCCGAAGAAGAAGAGCACGAAGGTGCCGCACGGGCATGCGAGAGAGAACGTTGAACCCGAGAAACATCAATCAGGATCCATCGCCGCGCGCTCGCATTAGTCTCAGTGTCCCATATGTTCGTCGCTCTGCAGCGAAAACTGCGAAAAGATCGGGCGGGAGGGGTGCATCTCTCGATTATGCGAATATCTACACGGACAATGGGCCCCCCAGCGTCAGCTGCTGCCGTCGCGTCCCCCTTCCACCCGCTGATGACGGTCGGCGGCACGGGGTCGTGCGCCCCCCGCGAAATAAGCAATAAGTTACGTTAGCACTGTATGTGACGAACCCTCTCCCCTCCACAACCCCCTCACGACAGCAGCCCCACGCCGAGGGTACGCGGGGTGAACGTCCCATAGTGCAGTCTCGACGTTCATCACGTTCGCTTCGAGTCGCGATATACCGAGTGTCTCCGAAGTAAGCGTCAGCAGCTGGCCGGCCAGCGAGTCGAGGGGTGTTTTGATTCCGTCATTTGTTTCTCCCTCGATTTCGTTCCTCCTTCTCCCCTTTTTTAGTGCGCGCGCTCGGTGGGCGGATTAGATGGCGTCTCCAGGACGCATCGACTTGCTTCACGCCGCGCTTCGTCGTTACTTTTTGGCAAGTGAATTTTCGTCTGGCCGATATCCGGCGTTTCGCGCGAACGGAAGTACGCGAGCTCGGCGGCCGCTCCGCAGTGTTTGCTTCCGAACATTCGTTACGTGACGTGTGTTTTCGTGCTGTCGTGGTCAAAAGGTGGTGTGACGATAGTCAGCCTGACGAGGCGTTCGACAAAATTCGGTTTCGACGTTCGTTGCATCGCCGGGAGCGAGTGTGTGCGTCTTGAATAAGAGGGGGAGAGAGAGAGAGAGAGAGAGAGAGAGAGAGAGAGAGAGAGAGAGAGAGAACAAAGATCGTGCCACAACGGGTCGAGTCGCAATCTGAGAGAGTTTCTCGAGACGGGCTGCGCGAAATACAGGAAATTAACTCGTTTCGTCGATAACGCGAGATGAGACGCGACGAAGTCGCGCAGGATCCGTCGTCGAACGTGAACGAGATAGAAATTCCTCGACGGCGCGACGCTTGCGGGGTGCGAGGAGGGGCGGGAGGCGGGGGAAGAAAGAGGGGAAAGGGGTAAACGAAAAGAGTACAGGACGCCTTCGACAGTGACAAAGTGTGTTTCCCAGGATTACCGGCTCGCAAGAGTCCCGGGAGGTTGTAAGGGCGGGTTTCAGTGCGATCCTCGGCCGTGCGTGCCGCAGGGGAAGTCCGACGGGATCCTCAGCAGGAGCTGGACGAGGAGAAGTGCAGGATGAGAGAAGAAGCGTGAGTCTGTGCTCCTTGCGTTCACTGCGGGCTTCCATGTGCCAACTTTTCAAAATTCATAAGGCACGCGGTGAATGCCAAGAGCGGACCAAATACAACGATCCCCCGCGTTAACTCGCTGAGGATCTCTCTCTGTCTCTCTGTCTACGTCTCGGTGTGACGTCCTTTCAGGAACCTCGAGCCTCGCGTTCGACCTTCCTCCGTTGCGCAAGGTCAGTATCGAAGGTGGACGATGCCGTGCTCGCCCCGTACACGCTCGCGTGCTTTCTCGTATTTTTTAAGTTGCTGGGGAATGCAAATTTGGTTGCAACAAACGTTTTTGTATCGTACACACTTCCACCCGCCTGAACACACACACACACACACACACACACGCGCGCTCTTTTTTTGGTCGTACAGTTAAATTAATTTATTAAAAGCATTCCCTCCCACGCTTGACTTTACTTGCGCATTTAAACAAATATTTGCATAAGTGAAATGCTTGTTATTATAGCTCGTACGTTTATATTCACTTGTTTTAAATAACGATTAAGCGGAAAATCATTACCCCGCGCGCGTAATTGGATGAACATGAACAAAAGCTCCACGTTCTTGTATCCGGAACATTTTTCACGTCTACACACATATGAATACATACATATGCATTGATGTTGTTTTTTTTTTAACGTCGCTCACTCACATAATATCTCGCGTTTGCATTTAATCTGAATTCTATTCTGAAGCAACATTCTGCGACGCTTGCCGAGCGTCGGATACTAATTCAAGCGCGAGTCTGCTGCGATTTTCTTGATTCAAGCGTTGCATCGGACATCAGAGAGCGAAGAGAGAAAGGGAACGGCGAAGTAGATCGCTAATGGTGGCCGAGCTCGTTCCCCGACGGACGGGGCTTGTCGAGATCGGCTTTAAAGACGAAGAGCCCCTAAATGGAAATCGGGGAATTCCCGGGACGTAGGACGAAAACGGCCGGTTGTATCGACCGAGACGAAAGGGCGGCGAAGGGAGATGACTGGATGGTGGGGATGCTGCGCGGTTAAAGGGTGGACGGACGTTGCCTGGCAACCCGCTCCTTCCCGCAGCATCCCTCCTGGACCATCACCGCTGCCTCCGCTACCGCCACCACCGCCACCACCATCACCGCCGCCACCGCCGCCGCCGCCGCCATCCACGATTTCCACGATCATTGTTGTCGTTGTTCGACGTTGCGCGTCCGCCATTATTCAGGATCGATATCTTTGCCGAGAAACAGAGAGAGAGAGAGAGAGAGAGAGAGAGAGAGAGAGAGAGAGAGAGAGAGAGAGAGAGAGAGACAAAGAGAAAGAGAGAGAGAGAGAGAGAGGGGGAGAGAGAAGGAGAGACACGTCATCTCGTTTCACCGGTACGTCGTGATTTCGGCCGAGGATGGGCACGCGTATGTACTCTTTCTCTTTTCCAGGGGAAATCCTGGAATCGCGCTCTGTGTTGCGACGTCGAACTGAAATCGGAAGCTGAAGAGATCGCGCGATCGAGAAGAAATTGGAAAGTCGATCCCCCGATGAGCAGATCTCCTGGAAATTTTAGCAGGGCAAACGGAGGACTGTGTGTATAAACCTTGAATTTAGATTCCCAAAGGTGCGGGAAGTTTTTTAGTTTGTCTTTTCAAAAAGCTGACCTAATAATTGAAGTATGAGGTTTCTTGACGTTAAGTGTCCAACTTTTGATCAAACGAACTGGAACGAATAAAAAATGAAATTCACGTAAACGAGGGGAAGAAACCGAACCGGAAATAAAAAAAAATATCACATGCGCAAAATCAATTTAATCACACAGTCACGATTAATTACGAAACACGAGAAATATCGTAAATACCGTAAAATGGCAAATCGCAGATTGACGCTGCGGGAGACGCAACAGCTCTACAAAAACTATTACTGCAGATTTCTATGTAGAGCAGCAAATAAAACATCAAACCAACGCATGGAAGAATCATTTTATTGCGTGTCCTTGATTCCCAAGCACGAATCCTGAAGATATAATTTTTGTTTTATGCATCCGCGCGAGATATTTATCAACGTGAAGAAATTAGTATTCGAATAAACGGTGTAAAAATGTATTTCATTCATTCAGCGACGTAATACAGATTCCGTTGTGTTTTCCGTTCCCTAATTATACGCTAATTATCTTTTGGTATCAATCTGTCCTCGTATGTGTGTGCGTAATGTAATAATTCATCCGTACATATAAATATATCGATAACTTGCGAAACATTTACGGTTATAAACCGGACAATTCCACGTGCAAGCGTCGTGTCGCGCTGATTACCGTTTTACCGCGCGTTATAATTGCGCTACCGTTGATAATTAATCACAAATCAAGGAGAGAAACGTCGCCTCATTATCCTCCACCGCGGGAAGTGCAGCGCGAGCATTAATTCAGTCGCAGAGTATAACGACGTCGACTGCCGTTTTAAGACGATCCATTTATCTTAATAAAAAGCCGCGGCCATTCATTTCGCACTTTTTCTCTTTTTCTCTCTCTCTCTCTCTCCCCCCCTCTCTTTTTCTTTCTCTCTCTACTTTTTCCCCGACGTTCCATCCGACGAAAACTTAAGAAAGCGGCTAAATGGCGGGAAGATTGATCGCACCATGAAAATTGATGCGGTGATTCCTTGCTCCACCCCTCCGTCGCTTTATTCCCTCGCGATCCGAGAAAAACGATATAATCGCTCCGAGGATAAATCTCTCCTTCTCTCTGTCTCCGTCCCTCCGCGCGTCTATCAACAACCACCATAAATCCTATCGCTTCTTATCACTCCGGGCGAGCGCGCCGTAATTACTTGAGAGACAGAAGGAAAGCGTATTAATTGCGCGCGTCTCACGAAATTTCCGCAACATTCGTCGCGTCCCGCAAACTTTTAATTATGATAATTATCTTCGCCACCTGTTGCCCCACGTCGGTAATCAGCGGCAGCTCCGAGCGGAACGCGCAACAAACATCAATAACAATTAACGTTATTGTGTCGCTAAATTCGCAACGAAACGACGAGGTGAGGAGAGCCGCCGCGGGCGCGAAAAGAGCTGCCACAGCCATGACAGCCGTTGTTTCTGCGTCGTCTTGGTATTGTTATCGGAAAATCCCCTCGGCAACCCTCGAATACGAATTTTACCACCGCGGCTGAATAAAAATTCTCCGCAAGAGAACAAGTGCGCGCACGAGAGAGAGAGAGAGAGAGAGAGAGAGAGAGAGAGAGAGAGAGAGAGAGAGAGAGAGACAAAGAGTCTCTCAAAGGTTTCCCGTGGCAACATTATATCATTTAATTAAAATCTTCATCCCCCACGCGTCACCTGTTGCCCCGAAATTAGCAGCGATTTGCAGCGGAGAGCCGCGACTCGTCGAGAGATTGCGAGCTCGCCTTGGAAATCTGCTCGCGCGATCGTCGAAGGTAAACATGAAGAAAGTCGCCATTTTTGGCCTCTTCGTTCCGTCTCACTCCTCCCACCGCTTCCGTCCGCTCCCTTTGGCCCTTGTCGCCCGCGATTTTCTCGCTCCATCGCTCGCAGAGTGTAGGCGCAACAAAGAAATTCAGATGAAGGTCACTTTGCCAATAGGAAGAGCCCGGTGACGAGCGGGGGGAGCGAGGGCTGCGAGGAGGTGAATGTGAGTTCCCACCCTCTCCCCCGTGTGCGCCCGGCTTGTATCGGAAGCTGACTTCCATTCAAACGGTGTGTTCTTAGCGGGCCTCGGCCGCGTCTCTCGATCGCGCGTTGATTGACTGGCGCGCGATTAACCCTTTGATCGCTCACCGCCGCCGCGTCGGAGGCGATGAGCGGGGACGTCGGACGCACTCGCGACCGCCGATTGCACATATCGATAATTTTACTTCGCGCCGTGAGCGCAGCGACGATGTTAAAATCATGGTCGCGCAAGGGCGACGCAAATTGCACCTGATCGCGCCACCCCCGACACGTCGTTGCCATTTTCAGCGCCGTCGTGCCGGCATTTCTGGCCTTTCCGTTGAGATTTCCACGCCGAGCGCGCACCCGCGCGCGTCTTGCGAAAGCTTCTGTAGCTGCAGTTACCCGGCAGCTGCAGAATCGCACCGTCGAGTCTGTCGACCTCGTTTGCGAAATCCGCCGCGCGAACGACGCGGCGAACGTGAATTCTGAAGCGAAGGGAAGGCGCACGAGCGCGCGCGCGCCTTCGTCGACCACCGCGTAATACGAACTCGAAGTTTATGTCTGGCGTTTGCAAGAGCGGAAAGAACGTAAGACACACACACTAATAGGACGCGGTGATGCCGCCGTGCGTTTCAAAGGAGGCGACTCGCATTCGCCGGCGCACGGTAAACGCAATCGAATTTCAGGCAGATTCATATTCATACGACATCGCGAGGCGGAAAGAAAGTTCACACTTGCGGAGCAGTAGGCACGAGGACACGGAGGCCTGGGGGGAGGAGGTGGCCGAGGAGAGGCAGGGAACGGAGTGCACTTTATGAAATTGCAACGGGTATAATCACATATTTTCTTCACGGGTCGAGTCGCAGCTTAATCCGAACGACGGTACTCCGTGCGAAGGCAAAATGTAACGGAGGACGGTGGCGAGGAGGGTGGAACGAGAGCAAAAAGAAGATCGGGACAAAGAATAAGCGAGATAAATGGAAAGAGGGAGAAAGAGAGAGAGAGAGAGAGAGGCGCGAAGGGGGTTAAAGATAAAAAGAGACGAGGTGACGTCGGTGAGCCGAGGGTAAACGAACTCGATTTGCGAGAGCCGTTGGGTAAATACAATTATTTTTATTGCACATACGGAAATCCGTATTTTGTCGCGCGTCTGTTTTTACGGCACGCGACTGGTGTTGTTTACGCGCGAGAATTTTCCGCCCGCTTCGTTCCGAAACGCATGGCCGGTAAACGTTACCCCGCCCCGAGAGTCGAGAGTCTCCCATGTCGCAGCGTTGACCGTTTCGCGCTACCTCCTCTAATCACGACGGGCAATTTTTTATCCAGTTGTCCAGGCCTTGAGGTTGAAAAGCAGAAGATGCGCTGGCGGTCGGTCACTCCCGCGCCCGGCGGAAACGAAGCATAATCAGAGCCGCGAGAATCTGAATCTAACTCGGTGGGAGTCGGCGATCGCGCGGACATGATTGTGAATTAATAGACCGACCTGTAGAAGCAACGCAGAGCTGACCACGAAAGTTCTCGGTCGAGAGAGAGAGAGAGAGAGAGAGAGAGAGAGAGAGAGAGAGAGAGAGAGAGAGAGAGAGAGAACCGAGAGAGCAGCAGAGCCAAAGAGGAGTTCCAGTTCGGGGCGAGCAAGACGAGAGCATCGGACGCGAAGACGAAGAGGGATGGGCAGAGGGGCGGCGGGAGGGAAAGTGCGAGGAAAAGAGAGACTGAGGATTAATCGTTCGTACTTCTTCGCGCGGAGGGTGTCCCGTCGGCTATCCGGAACAGCCTCGTTGAGAGGTACACGCGCTCGACGCTCGCTGGAACGTCACGGGGTGTAAAATTATACAACGAGAAATATGTTCCACGTAATAATCGAGAGAGAAACGTGATCGGTGAGGGATGACGGTTGAGAGAAAGAGAAAGATAGAGGGAGGGAGATGGAGAGGGAGAAAGAGAACGGGAGAGAAAGAGAGAGAGAGAGAGAGAGAGAGAGAGAGAGAGAGAGAGAGAGAGAGAGAGAGAGAGAGAGAGAGAGCGGGCGCGGGAGGGTAGAAGGAGGAGAGAGGGAACAGGGCTCATGTGGAACAGGGGTAGGGAAGCGAGATACGGGGTGAGATCAATACAGGGTCGCTAGGCAACGAGCCTCCGGCGGTCTCGGTCCGGGTAGACAGGGTGCCGCCAAGCCTCTGTAGCCACCCACTCACCCTCCACCGCTCTCGCTTGCTCTCTCTCTCTCTCTCTCTCTCTCTCTCTCTCTCTCTCTCTCTCTCGCTCTCTCTCTCTCTCTCTCTCTCTCTCTCTCTTTCTATATATGTATATCTCTCTCTATTTCTCTCTTTCTGTCCCTCTCTTTCTCTCTCGCATCCCTCCGGCCCTGAAAGCGCCACATCCCACATAATAAATACCGGCAACTGTGCAACGCGGCGGGATAACGCGAGAAGAAGCGCCGCGAATATGGCGTCGAGGACGAAAAAGGAGATCAGGAGAAAGATAGAGGGAGAGAGAGAGAGAGAGAGAGAGAGGGAGAGAGAGACGGAGAGAGAAACAACCCCTTTCGCCTTTCTCTTAATTAAATTCGCCGACAATTTTCTCGTCGAATTTGCTCTCCTTCTCTCTCTTTGGTCTCCTCCTCCCTCCTCTCCCCACCCGATCGCTACCGCAGCGCTCTTTTAGTACGCACTTCTTTGGCATTGTTTGTCAATAGAACGACGAGAGGGTTGACGCCGTTTACGAGCCGATCGCGCGACTCTTCGTTTTCCGTCGCGCGAAATTCTGCCGACGATTTTCAGACGACGACGTCGGCAGAAATTCCGGCTTCTTTCGCGAAAAAACGCCGACTCTCTGCGTTGACTCCCGTCGTGATAATAATTTAGATGTTCCATTTTTTTTTTTCATTTTATATTGTAAAATCGGGGCACAAGGTACATTTCAAAATAGCTTCATTCAAAGCTTCAAAAAAGCCACTCTTCTCTCCGTCTTCGAACGATTCTCGCGAATCATACTTGATTGATAAAGGAGAATCATCGAAAATCTTACGATTAAGTTTCCTCGGAGGTAACTTCCTCGGAAATCCTCGGTTCTCCGAGGACCTCTCTGCTCATCAGCCAAGATCAGTTTTATTATTCCGACAATTGGCAGAGCATGGCGGTCCCTCGCAGAATCCAATGCTCCGGCGGGTGCTCCGTCGGCAGCCAAATCGCGATGACAAAGTTGGTGGAATGGCCGGTGGTGGACAGGATGCCTTTCCTCTCGCTCGTCTTGTAGACGGGACATGTGTACGTCTTCCTCTGTTGCAGCTGATCCTTCGTCACCGGCATCAGCCAGAGCTGTTGAGAGATTCAGGTCGTTATCTTCGTGTCAACCTCTTCAGACTGAGTGCATTAAAGTCACGAGGAACGGATTTAATTTCACAGTCTGACACAAATACGACATCTGTCAATCGTCTAACGGGATTCTTTCTGTATTTGTTGCGGAATTTCGTGGTGAATATTTTATTCGCGATAATGTCCACAGTTATATTATATTTTGTCGACACGTCAGATGTTCGAATAGCAAGGAAACAATCGAGCGTACCAGTTAGTACTCTTGAAGAGGTTGAATTATCGCGCTTGTGGAAATCGCATTTCTCTTTGCAGTGTTGTGTTTTACCAGCACCCATTATACGACACCCCGGCAAGAGGGTGAAGTCGGAATGCGTTGAAATGTTTGTCCAACGAGCACGCTCCGACACGCTCCACGGACAATCGCGCGCCGCATGTCGCGAAGGGGGTTGAGTCTCCGCGTGTATTTGCTTACATGGGGCACGGTGTCGTAGAGAATCTTCGGCAAAGACTCGTCGAGCCTCATCGTGTCCATATCGAAGCGGGCCCCGTCGAGAAACAGCCCGTAGACGTAGACGCCGTCGTCCGGCGGTCTCGCGTGAACGGTGTCTTTTAGGGCGAAGAAATCGTAGATCAGCAGGTCGATGGGGATGGAATATTTCCGCGCGTAGTTCTGCCGGGCGCCGGTCAGGAACGCCTGGGTGAAGTAAAAGCCGGAGATCCAGAAGGACGTGGGAGCTCCATCCTCGTACCAGGTCTGCAAGGATACGAAAACTCGTGTTCCTCGGCGTTTTCGCATTGAGTCGATGCAACAGCTTTGCCGCGTTCGTTAAATAAACAATCGGAAACGAAGCTTCGAAGGATCGAAGGACGAAGGCGAGCGATTTTTACGAGGAAACTGAGCGACTTTTCTCATGTATCTCCTTTCGATGAAGTTAAATTTCTCACACGAAGAGAGATGTTCGACCGAATGAAGCAGTTTTCCGGTGGAACGTGAACGGCTCAGAGATTCCGTTCGAAAGTATCAGAATCCTACTTCAGTTAACCGAGGAGCCCTCGATAATTTCGACAGGATTCTGATCATTTCGAGCGGAGTTTCTCAACCGTTTGTACCTCACCTCACCAGAAAACTATCTCATTCTCTCAACCCTAACATTTTTCTTCGTATAGTCGAATTCGACAAGGAAACGATGAGCGAGCTCCTTTTTCCGCGAGCACACCTGCAGGAAATTCAGTCTCCGCAGGAAATCCTGTATGTAGCTTCCGAGCGGTTTCAGGGACGGGTAAGAGCTACGCATCCACAATTTCGGTATCTTGCCGGTGATTATCGACGAGTAGACCTCTTCGAGATCAGGGTTCATGATCACCAGACCTGTTGAAAACGATCACGATATGTATATCCGCGCGAGGAGAACCTCCCCCTTGGGCAGATCGCGTCCTTTACCTCGGATCGCCTTCCGCAAGTTCACCAGGCTGTCCCTGATGGTCTGCAGGAGCTTGTTGAACCTGCCCATCTCCTGCACCAGCACGGTGTTCATGCTCTGCTCGTAGCGCGTAGGGTATCGCTCCAACGCGGCCACTAGGTCGTAATCCTGTGGCAACTTGGACAGGATATCGGACGCGATGTCGTAGACGACCTCTTCCGGGGCCTTCGCGCCCGGCTCCATCTCGGCATGGCCGGCATCCTGGTGAAAATCAGGAGGTCACCTCGGCGCTCTTCGCGAGTTTAATCTTTAATCGGACGGCCGAACCACACGAATGTGATCCCATCAGGACGGTCCGACGGCCAAATTGATTTTGTCGCTTGAAATGGAAGCGCGCGACGAGTCTCGACTCGCAATTTAATAACGCTTTTATTACGGATTTTCCGCGATATACGAGGCCGCCCACGTCTGAGGACTCTCTCGTCCCGCTCCTTTGCACGTTTCGGATTCCGTTCTTTTCTTCTTCTGTTCTATTAATGTGTGATTTGGTACACTTGGTATGATATGATAAATAGTAACGCGACGTCGCGAATCTTTGAATAAAACGTGAAAGACGCAATTTTCGAATTGGATCCCGGACGGGATTTCTTCCTCGCGGACGGGAAGGTCTAAACGCTTAACGTTACGTGACAGATGAGAATGTTACCTGCTTGCTCGCTTTCCTCAGCTAATCGCGTGAAAATGAAAAGGTACCGCGTTACAGAATTAGCCACAAACGACGTATTCCTTCAAATAAACGCTACTTACTTGTATCTCCTCGACGTTCTGCTCAGAGACAAAAAATTAGTAATTATTTTAGTTTCCGATACTCCGTAACGCTCAGGACATGGAAAATTAATCAATCTCGCGCAAACTGAGAGGATCAATCAGAGTGCAAATAAAAACGAAAGGATCGAGAGAAATAAATAAAGTCGCGTGCAAAGGTCGGAGCAAAATCAACTTATAAATATTAATAATTAATGACAATCTCTATCAACTTTATACCATCGACATCCTTTTTACAATGGGAACAGCTATTAGGTTACTTTATCCAGCCAAACGCAACATCTTTCTCTCTTTTTACACTCGACGAATCATCCGCGATGAATCCCAAGAATCGCGCGAGACGCCGTTCTAAAATCTTCTCGAGGCCGAAAAAGGTAGAAAAAAAATTACACAAAAACGGGGCGATCGATCTCGATAGTCGCGTTAGCACCTGTGTGAGCAGAATGGAGGACAGCATCAAGTAGGACTCCTGCTGATCCTTGATAATGTCGGCGTTCTCGTGCATACCGAAGACGCTGGGCGCGGTGGTCATCGGCAATTCCTTCACGTAGTCCAAGAACAGACTATATTCGCTAACTGGCGGTACGTAATACCGGCCGCTCGGGTCGAACGGGTATTTCTCGTCGACCACGACCTCCTTGCGATAGAACCGCTCCAAGATCGAGTTCAAAGTTCGTCGGTCCCACTCGTCGGTTACGCGGCCGCCGTAGTTGCATTCGCCTTGCACGGGAAAAGAAGAGAAGCAGGGAGAGGATGAAAGGCCTCGCTAATGAGAGCCGCCATTACGGTGTTTCCGATGTTACTCTTATGCCAGTGCTGTCGGGAGCTGGCTTGGGATGGCGGCGAAGATCGAACGTCGAGCGAACGAAGATCGGACGCGACAAATCAGCGCTCGCCAATTCGAGGTAGAAGAACAGCGGGCAGATATTTCGCGTCGCGTCAACTGCGCTGATTCTGCCCGGCGAGAGAGAGAGAGAGAGGGGGGGGAGGGAAGGGGGAGATACAAAAATGAAAATAATATAGCGTAGAAAAAATCATTAATTAATACCGCTCAGCGCGCGATCGTTTTGAAGCGATCGGTCTTCCGAGGCGCTAACTTAATTCCAATCCCCCGGCCGACTTGTGTGACCGAGGATTTAATTCCTCCGTGAAAATTTCCTTCCGGCTACAAAATCGACTCTAAAAACGGTTGTCGGCGAGAATCCGTTCCCGGGAAGCTCCCGCGCAGCGCGTTTCCAACGTCAGTCAGTCAGTATCTCGTTGGAGCGAACATCGCGATCGTGCGAAGTATCGAGCGGACGTGCGCGTATGAGGGAGGAAATGCAACGAAATATCGCTCGCTTACCCGTCAGATACTTGAGCGCGATGTATTGAACATCGTCGTACTGGTCGAGGAAGATCTTGAGCTGCAGCGCGCTGATACGCAAATCCGTCTCGTTGAATTCGTACTGATTGTTCCAGCCGATCGGCCCGAATTTCCGGCGCTCCTGCACCACTGCGTGAAAGAAGCAGAGCGAGAAGAGCAGCTTCTTGAAGGTCCACTTCTGCGACGACGTGTCGAAAAACTCGGGCTCGCATATCGGATCCTGCCGCGACATTTAACCCGATCGCTCGCGTTAATTTTATCTCGCCCGAAAGGAAAAAGAGAAAGAAAGAGAGAGAGAGAGAGAGAGAGAGAGAGAAATAGAGGGAGAGATATATTGTCCACCTGCAAGAAAGATCGCATGATATTCGCGCGCAGTCCTTTGGGCGGTTCATTCGTCATCTTCACGCCGTTCTGGAGGACGCTGACTGGGAAGTGCTCGAACGGGTAGCTCGTCAGCCAGAGTCGGAAGTCAGGATGCACCGTGTTCGGCGTGAAATTGTCGCAGATCTGAAGTGAGATGAGAAAGAACATAAAAACCAGAGAGAGAGAGAGAGAGAGAGAGATAAATTTTGTAAAAGAGAGGGAGAATACCATATAACATTTGATATTTAATCCTTAAAAGCTACCATAAAAAAAATCATGTTAATGCTGTCACGGATGAGATTTCATCCTGTTATATATTTTTTACTTATAGCCGGCAGAAATAGAAAAGTGAAACAAAGGCAATTAAATATTTTATTATTATTGAATATTAGATGAGAATTAGAGGAGTTATCGTTTGCAGCGAAAATAAACACTTAATACGAACGAAACAAAATTCGCATGGGGTGAAATTTCCCACCCCTGGTAGCCTTTAAGGGTCGATACATGATATTACCTTTTATCGTATATTTAATATATTGTTAATTACGCGATCTATATTATGCGTATGCGCTTTTGCTACGTACTTTCGAATTCGAAGCGTTTAACGTCTAATTTCTCGTAGCAACCTCCGCGGGGATTTAAGGTCGCATTTCTCAAGGGGAATAGAGTCTTCAACCGGAGAGATTTCAGTTCCGCGAGTCCCTCTCTAGTCCGAAACAACCAAAGCGAAAGCGGCGAGAACGCGAGGTGCCTCTGGAAAACGCCCTCGGCACGGAACGAGACGCGGAGCGCGCCGTGCTCGCGGACATTCGCGCCCGCGCGGACATCACCTTTTCCATGACCGGCATGAAGCTCTTGGCGACATGGCAGTTCTGCAGCACCACCCAAGTGCCGTTCTTCACGCCTTCGTCAATGAGGCCGGCGGCGATGACTCCTTGGCCCTGACCCAGGGACAAAGAGAAGAGCCTGCTGGCGCCGAAGCCTTGGTCGTCGGCGAATTTCAGCAGGATCGCCATGGGGTCGGCGCCGGGCGTCAGGACGAATATGAGCGGCACGCAGGAGTTGGAATCCGCGTAGGAGGCCGGCAGGTCGAAGGGCGGCGGCTCGATGAACTGGCGGCCCAATTGCTCTGCAACGCCGAGGAGAACGGCAGATTCGCGCGAGCGAATTATCGATGACAGGCGCGTTCGGTCGGGCAGGATCACTCGCAGTCGTCGACGTGTTCTACCGCGCTATTTCGCGGAAGGATCTTCGCGGGGGCGTAGCACGCGCATGAGACGTCTTTCGAGGTCGTCGAGGATCGCGTTCGCGTATCTCGCGCGGGATTTAATTCCTTGTCTACGCGGAAGGAAATTATGTACGTGCGGGACTTCCCGACTGCGAATTCGCCGCACGCGTTCTGTTTGCACCCGGATCAATTTATTCCCGCTCCGTGGACGCGAGTCTTCACCCTGGCTTCTCTCATTCTTCCTTCCTCTCCTTTTCCCGCTTTCTGTATTTTTTTATCTTTTTTCTCTTTCGAGTAACTTTACCTTCGACGAATAATTGCGCCGCCGACATGACTTTGTCGGGACGAATGCAACGAAGCACCAGCATCCTTTCGAAGTTGCCGAGTCGGTTCCAAGGCGCGGGGAAGAGCAGGGTGTGAGGCTCCTTGTGGTCAAATACCTTCTTCCATTCGCCGACGTTTGTCGTGCAGCTGTCTTTTATCCCCTGAGCAATAAAGTGCGCGCGGTAGTCGCGAGAGAAGCGGCAATTCCGGCCGAAGGAATTATTAATCGCGCGCGTTTAATTGATCCCCGCGATCGCGGAGACGTTACTTGGCTGTTTTTCCCGGTAAAAAGACTTGACGCGAGGTTCTCTGCAATTGGCGAGAATATCGCCGCTCCGGACAATTATGTGACAACAAAGTGACATTTCTTGCGACTTGATCAAGCGATAAAATTTCGTTTTACATCTCCCGTGGAAATACGATTCACTCATTCGGCGAACGGATTTGTCGATTTTTCTTCCACGTAAACGATTTCTCGAAAGGTTTTCCTTCATTCGAGCTCCCTTTGGCAGGGAAGCTTCCGCGTCAACGTTAACGTTCTGTCGACTCGAATCGCCGGGACGATTTTACCGTAAATCCCGGCACGCCGTCCAGTCGACACAACTCGTCCCAGGACCGCGACGGCAGCCAATCGGTGGGATTGACGAAGGGATTCTCGAGGCCGACGCCGCCGGTCAGCAGGAACATCCATTGGGCCATCGAGAGCTCGCCCTGCTTGTTCAGCAAATTCGCCGACAACAGGATCGAGAAGAGCAGCTTGTCCTTCTCGAAGAGCGAGCGGCATATGTTCACATATAGTGAGTAGGTGAAGTACTTGGTGAGGTCCTCCAAACGTTGCTTTATGTCCTCCGCGCGCGGCGTATTTTCGATCGTATTCTTGAAGAGATTGACGAACCAGGCGAGGGAGTATTGGTACATCGGGTCGATGTTCGCCAACATGGCTGAAACGCGGAAAAAATAGAAAATGCCGCGAAACGGAGGAGCTTATCCTTCTCGTGAAATATTCCAGAATTCTGAGAACGGTGGAATTCGCAAACGCGAGGAATTTGAATTTCAAAAAACGGCCCGACGTTGAAACTTCAGGTTCTGCTTTATTTGTATCGTTGAAAACGTGATGTGTGAAAATGTATGAGGAAACATTCTATCGACGAGGCCATACGATGACATGATGATATGATGATATGATGAAATGACGATACGACGCTGCAGTGATAAAACGTTCAGATGATTCCGATGCTTGAAATTTAGATGCAACTGCAGGCAGTTTTTCTCTGTGAACCAGAGCACCGCGTTGTCTTTGTGTCACACTGTGATTCTTCTCTTTCATGATCTCCCGCGAATTTCATTATCATCGGCGTATCTTTTATTTGTACTCACCGATCGTGAAGAACAGAACCGTGCTGTAGACTGCGATCGGCGTATACTGCAATCTCGCCGCGTCGATAGACTTCTCGGTGACCTCGGCGGCGGTCTGCTTAGCTTGAATCTCGTTGGACAGAGTCTTTGAGGAGCTTAACACGGCAATGGCGGTTTCGTCCTCGAGTATATTCTCCTCAGAACTCGACAGCACCTCCAGGATCTTATTCTCTATCTCTTGTAACATCCTACGGAAAAATTCCTCACCATACATCGTTCATCAGGGTGACGATGATTCCGAGTTGCGAGACGAGAGAGAGAGAGAGAGAGAGAGAGAGAGAGAAAGAGAGAGAGAGAGAGATAAAAATAGGCAGAGCCTCTCGCGAAATTAACATTCAATTGCACGCGGAACTCATCTGGTTGTATTCATTCGGCCGTGTTTATTTGTCATTGCCATTTTCATCAGCGACTTTATTTCGTCGTGCAAAAATAATGACGCCTGAAAGATTGATTAACGATCAATTTGTTCGGCCGAACCCGCGTGCGCGCGGGTATTTCTCAATGCACTACCTGCAATAATTTGCCGAATGTGTAACGCCGGTAATTATCCAGCGAAATAATTTTCCGCGATTTTGACTATTCGACGTTCTACGTGAAGTAACGAGAGACAGAATTGGCTGCTCGATTCGTACTTTTTATTCTCCGCTCCCTGCACGATCAGCTGATTCTTCTCGGCTTCCAGATCGGGTCGTTCCTTAGCGACGACTATGCCCAGAAGCTGATCGTCCAGACCGACTGGAGTGATCATGAAGTTCAGCAACGTCACCTTCACCACCACTTCCGGCAGATAATGCGGATTTCGCAGTTTCGTAGTGATGTAAAAGCTATGGAGGTCGGTAAAGACGTCAATTAGAAGGTAAAGTCCCAAAGGAGTTTTACGAGCTCATAAAATGTACATTGAATCGATATAGAAACGCTGAAATGCAGATTTATCCCTCGCATTATTCAAATCTCTTCTCTGCTTTAAAATAATCCCTCTCTGACAATGAAAGATACTAAATAAACTGAAAATTCGTTAAAAAAGGTCGAGGAATAGTCACAAGTTGAAGACAATCGTTGTATTATTATAATACACAAATAATGAATATTGTGGCACGATTAATACCATTATAATACCAAAATGGATCGAATGAGAAATCGATGGATGAACGTACCGAAACTTGTCGGAATACTCGATGACACTGTCGCCGATCTTGATGCAGAGCGTACCGCCGGACCGGAAGGTCTGCTTCATCAGCAACGGCTCCAGGGCCGCGTCCAGCTCCTCGCCGATGTTCTCCAGCAGCACCGGCTGTCCGAACTGCACGGCGTTCTCCAAGATCCTTATGTAGTCCAGCTGGGTAAGCTTGATGACGTTCAAGTTGAACGCCTTCTCCATGTTCTTCACCCACTTGTTCGCCTGGCCCTGCGGGTCGATCATGAGCGGCCATCGGCGCGATTTCGTGACAATGATAGCGTTGTCGATGGAGAAGAGGTCGCTCGGTAGACCGAATATGTTCCAGGACCTGATGAGCACCGGCTCGCCTAGCACCTGGGTTAGCTGATAGTCTTGAGTGCAAACGACGTTCAAACTCGTGCAGAACGCCACCCAGTTGTCTACCTGCTGCTGCCGGAATTGCGTCGTGAACACGCCCAAATAAGCCACCACCCCCGAACTAATGAGGATGTCGCCTGTTAACTTGAAGTACTTTTCACCGAGCGACCTACCAACAGAAGAATCTCTGTTATTTCTTCCATCGAGAAGTTGTTCAGAAGAGTCTCACTCAAGAAAATTCCTGACATCTTCCGAACACTCGGAAATTTATAAATAGAGGGAATATAGATAGAGAGAGAATCGAGTGGTGTAACTCATTACTTGGCGTTCTCCGACCATCTGGTGTACTCGCCACCAAGTCTATTGATCAGCTCCTTGGCTCTCCTCAACTTCTCTTCGCAGTCCTTCACCTCGTCGGTCATCGCCTGATAGTCCGCCTTCCGTTGAGCTAACAGAGTCTCGAGATTGGCCAGTCTGTCCTGCACCTCTTGCAGTTGGCTCCTCTTCAGATTCAGCTGCTCCATCGCGGAGGTGTAGTCAGCGTCAGCTTGCGCCAGAGCCTGTCTCTTAGGCGCTACCACCTTGGCAACCTTGTCGTATTCCGACAAGGCAAACACCCAACGACAGAGACCCTCGCAGGCGGTCGACACAGTCCTGATGCGCTCTGGGTCGAAGTTTGGGTTCGTCAGGATCGTTGTGCGGATCTTCGTCATAATCCTCTCCGGGATGTTATCCTTGTCATAGGTGAGCAGAGACTCTAGAAAGTGCATGTCGCCTAGCATACGCAAAGACGGCTTCCAGTAGTCGTCCACCGCACCCTCCAGGGTTTGGACTTTCTCCGGTTTCACATCCTGCGCACGCATAGTTTGTTGAAAATGTTGGGATAATAATTTCAAACCAACATATAATAATAATAATTCCCAACAATTATTCGGTTTTGACCGTCTTCGAACGTTTTCCTTGGTTACTGCAGAATTATTTAAAAATATTTATTGAAAAAGAAGTATTAAGTAATAAGGAAAAGATATTTATATTTTTTATATATTAATACGTGGATATTATTGCCAATTAATCTAGACTGAATTTGGCAAAATGAAGGAATCTGATGCGAAGAGGATTGATCGGTCGGTCAATTTTGCAGCGTTTCTGCGAAAGTTTTAACTATCGTAATCACTTTCAATATGCAGACTGCTTCCATAACCAATCGCACGCCGGCTGGCGGGCGCTTCATGGACTTCACGATCTGGATGTCCTGCGGAGTCAGGGTATTTAAAGCTTCGTTTGCCGCGTTCAGTATCGGCATTACTTCCTGTAGATCCGCGTCGCACTCGGCGCGGATTGCATCGGCTTCCGCCGCGACGACCTGACAATGTAACAGTTTGATTATCAAGTAAAAGACGAATCGATTAAAAAATATTGATATTGTCAACTCCAAAATAACCATCTTTGATGGATTCGAAGGAATGAAGAATCGAATTCGAAACACAGGGACTCATCTCCAACTAGATGAAAATGATTGAGATCGCGCTTGGTTATTTCTCAACTTCGAAGAAATCAATCGGAAATCAATCAGGATGCATACATGAATTATTCACGAGCAATGATGAAATTTTAAAAACATGCTTTAACATCTCCCTAGTTTGCCCTCACCAGAGCGGCCTCTTCGTCCTTCTTAACGACCTGCTCGATAGCGCTGGCTTCCTCGCTCTCATGCTGCACATCCAATAGCATACCCTCCACGTCCTTCGCGGCCACCAACAACTTCGGCTGCAGGGCCACCAGGATCTCCTGCATCCTTTCCACCTGTTTATGCGTGCTGTCCAGCCTGTCGAGTCCGCCCTCATAGCGCTTCTTGCCGTCCAGAACCTCCTTCCTCTTGCGGTTCAACAGATCCTTGAAAGTATTGATGAGCTCGAGGTAGGACGTCGGGGTGACATAATTGTAACGATTCAACATCCTGCAGAAATCCTTCGTGAGGTCCTGCGTGGACGTGTGGAAATACTGGCACATCTCGATACAGGCCTGACGCTCCTCCGTCGGCATGTCGATCGCATCCAGGAACTTGGTCGCCACCGCGAGTAGCGCGTCCTCCGGCCACGGCTGCAGCCAGTCGATGGTACAGCAGTTTACCAGGGCGGGAAACTTGCGGATCCGCGTGCGGAAGTTGTCACCGATCGGCGACATCGTCAGCACCACATGCAGGTGCTCGCGCACTGTCTGCACGAAGAAGTTGAAGAGCGCGATCGGGCTGCCGTCCGTCTGCATGGATCTGAAGAAGAGAGATTCGTCTGCGGTTTCGATTCACATCGAGAGAGACGAGTACAAATTTTGAAAGGTGCATTTTTTCTAATTAGTGAGGAGGCTAGGATCTTACACGAGATATATATCTCTTGAAAGATTATTTTTCATACTTGCCACATGAGAAACTAAACTCGACGACTCTTTCCTAACTTTTACAGGAAAGTATGTTGCAGAGTACGCAAGTATATGTAAATTTAATTAATATATGCAGGGTAAGTCTTCATCGACACGATGACGTCGTTGATAATTAACGTCTAGGAATTTAAATCTTTCCTTCTTTCTTATCGAAAATAATACTTGTCTCTCTGCCGATCGATGACTCGCATTTGCTCGCAAATCTCGATCTTCTCGTCGGCCGCGAAGAGATTCGGCACCTCGCCAGAATTGAGAAGGTTGCTGACATCCTCCAGGAAAGTCTCTTCTTTAATCTGTGTGTCCATAAAGAGAAAGACTGTGTGCAAATCGCTCGCTGCGCTCTTCCGCAGGATGGTCTTGAGGTCGTCGCGCCACTCGTGAATGCCATACAGCTGGGTCATTTGGACCTGGAAGAGCTCGTAGTCGGATATGTGAGACGCCAGTTTCGTCAAGGACTGTCGACCTGAACCACCCATGCCGACCAGGAGAGCGTGGCTTCGTGGCTGCATCAGCACTCGGCAGATCCTCGAGAGATGCTCTATCGCGAATCTGATACACAACACATCCACTCGTTCGCCGATTTTTTCTATTTTAATTAATATCTTAATATTATATAGACGTGATATAAAAATGGTATAGAACTTTCTTCTGTTCAACTTGACGAACTTTACTTACACACGATATGTATTTAAAATTTATCAACAGATTTTCACTCTCAAACTTATTGAGATAAAGTTCCCATCATCATTATTCTCTTTCTCTCTCACATCGCGTTTTAAAAAGCTTAAAAACAACGCTTCATATTTAAAATTTGAAGCAAGATTTTCTTTAGTTTTTGTCGTAGATCATTCGCTTTTGCGCGAACGAAAAGCTCGATGTCCCTCGCATTTACACGAACATGCTAATGAACCTTTAATTCACAGAAGAACGATCATACGCTCATCAGGAGTGCGGTGAATTTCCCTTTACAACGGTTTTTTTCCCAAGTCGCTACGACATCTAGAAGTGGAGGTATCGACATTTGCATCGATCCGCGCTCTCGATCAGAGCGGCCCGACCGACCCGGCGCTAACACCTTGGGGTAGGTCAGGCACAAGTGGTGCGGCACATGGCGGAGAACAATAGCGCATTCCGCAGACGTATTCGTACGTGACGGCATGTAACGCGAGCGCGGCCTTGCCCCCACCCCACAGTCTAGGCAAGACCAGCTGTGACCGACCACCCGTCGTTCCCCACCACATCGGTTGTCCCCATAGACATGGTATATCTAGATGCATGTTCGAGGAGTGGGGATATAGCTCATGTAGAAAAGGATATACTCTGTTTTTACTGTTCGTTCTCTCTCGCACAGTCCCGATGGAGGGGGGGGGGTATAGAAGAGGCAGTTGCTGTACAGTGCTGTACAGTAACCATTGCCCCTATTCCCCTTCCATCGGGACTGTGCGAGAGAGAACGAACAGAGTGCTTCCTTTTCTACGAGAGTTATATTCCCACTCTTGAAATTTGGGAGAACGCGCAGTCTAGATATACTATGTCTATGGTCGTTCCATTCTCTCGTTCTGAGAGACAAGTGCACCACGAAAGCAGTGCATCGGCACGACCAGCAGGTGCCGCCACTGTCTACTAATGCGGACCGAATCCCGACGTCGACGCTGACTTTAAACAGTCATAACTCGTAAACGAGTCAACGTAGCGACGTGAAACAAAAAGCAATCTCTTTGACACGTATTCCCACACGTGTTTATGTTGCTGTATTATTGTTGACTCAAAGAAACAATGTATTATTTGATTGCTGATTTGAAAGAGCCGAGTCGTTATACAGGATGTCTGGATTCCAAAGTGAACAGGAAAGTGCCATACCGTTTTCCAAATGGCACCTGTTATCAAGATAATTTTGATACTTTAATGAAGATCCTTTTATCATTAAAATATTGATTAAAGAAGAATATTGAGATACTTTATTATTAAGATATTAATTAAAGAAAACTGGGGCGAGTGATTAATGCTAGACACCTCGCATTATAACATAATAATAAATTAATATTATAACTATTTTTATTTCTCTCAATATCGAATGAGAACTCGCCTGAAGAGTACCAGATCCATGGGCGTCTTCGAGATCGAATTGTATTCCACAAGATATTCCTCGACCGCTGTAGCGAGCGCATCCCAGTCCTGGATCTCAATGTACACCTTTTGATCCGCCATCGGGTCGTGGAAGTCGCAGTAGATGAGGTTTCGCAGGTGCACCTCGGTCAGTCGCACACTAGATTCATCCAGCAAGTCCGCGAATAGCTGGTCCATGTCGCCTTGCATACGTTCCCTCATGGTTTTCCGAAGCTGCTCCACCAACCACTTGTTGTCGGTCTCGTCGATCAGTCGGTCGCCGTAAACGCGAAGGACCTCGTGGACCCACAAACGCTTCATGCCGCTCTGAAGTGTTTTTTACACGGAAAATTATACGGAGATTAATATCACTGTTATAATTATTAAAATAACTATGTTAAATCGGAGAATCGCTCGCTCGTTTTCACGGGTAGAAACTTAATCGCAACAGCAAGATGAATAACACTTCAGGTTACAACGACACGGAATATTATTCATTTTGCAGTTTGCTCATTCTGATGCCCGCACCAGATCGGGGATGCCCTCGGGAGTGGAGAGCAGCACCCCTTGGATGACCCTGGAGAAGTCCCGCAGATTGAACAGGTAGTGCGACTTGGCGGGGGTCGGCAGCAGGTTCTTCCTAGTCTCTTTGTACACGTCGAGAGTTGCGTAGACCATGTGTTCCACGTACGGTCCGAAGAAGTCCGGGAAGTCGCGGGTGACAAAATACCAGGCAGCGATCCTGCCGAAAATAGTGATCAGCACGTCGTCCTCGAACTCGGAGATGCCGAGGGTGAAGAAGTGCCGCTTGAAACGCGGCGTGACGTCCAGCCCGCTCGCGGGCGGCCCCATCGCGCACATGAGCTGCATGTCCACCAGCTTCAACGGCATTATCTCCTTCCGGTCGTACCACATGTGATGGTCCAGCCATTGCCGCAGGAGCTCAATCGGCGGCTGCGCGCCGTATTCCTCCTTCTGCGGCATGGACAGGTCGTCCACGAAGATCACCCAGTGCTTGCCGGGCGGAGCACCGTAGAGACCTGCGTCGGCGGACACGCCCGAGGACAAGTAAGTGAGAACGAGATGTGTTTTCTCGTGCGCCTCTTTGGTTCGAAGCGACTACGGTTTTATGCAGCTTCGCGTGTCATTATTAACTTGGATCGTTGGATCGTCGAGTTGGTATGTCAATTATTGTAATGTCGTTAATACTTATCAACATGGTTATACCGATAATGATTTATATTTGAGCAATTGTTGCGCATATTAATATCGCGTACGTTGCTTCATAATCTTATTTTACGCTTTCAAGGTTGATAATATTAAAATACGATGTCTGTGATAATTAGAAGAACGCTTAAAACACACACTAAGGTGAGAGATTAAAGAAAGCAATGTGTGTGTGTGTGTGTGTGTGTGTGATCATAATAATAATTTCAAGTAACTTTAGAGCGGAGGATATATCGATACGTTTGAGACGAGACAATAATAACTTCAATGACGACTGCAAATACATCGCGATCGATATTCCAGATTAAGTTGAGGGGAAACCTTTTCTCCTGCGGTCCAGTTTGCTCATAATAATATCCTGTGTCTGATTGGCCGTGGTCTGCGCCGAGAATATCACGAAGAGCGGCTTAAAGATCTCGGGGTTGGTCCTCTTCAGCAAGTATTCCATGATGTAAACGGACTTGCCGGTGCCGGTCGGCCCGACCAAGAGGACCGGCTTGTGATGAGTGACGAGGTAGTGGAAAAGATGAAAGTACCGAACGGTCTCCACCGTGGAGACGATGATCTGATTCACCGGCATATCTCTGGGGATCGGCGGAACGTCTTTGAGGTCACCCAACCACGGCGTCCACTTGCCCCTACCCTCCTTGATGAATTTATAGTCGAAGACGGAGCCAGCGAGCGGCAGAGGAACCGCGTAGGGCCGCTTCGGGTCACTGATTTCCAGCGGGATGTCGAAGCGTGCCCGCACAGCCTTCGGGAACTGATCAGCCAGCAGCGCTCGGAACAGCACGTTGAACCACTCGCGGTAGTTGGCCATCAGTGTGCCGCCCATGGCCCAAATACAGGAGAAGAAGAAGCAGCCCTGTGTTGCGTGGATTTCGTAATATCCCGTCGAGCGGGCGATCACTATCTATCTCATCATCTGTGCATGCGCACGGGTAATTAATCAGGCCTCGATACTCAAATCGTGGCAAGAGGCGAGAGTGCGAATGAAGAATGTGTCACCTTGATTTATTTCTCGCTTCGCAGCCGAGAATTCGCAATCGATATGACAACTAGGGACATCTTCTCGAAATGTTCCTCTCGTACTTTCCGCGATACAATTCACTCACCTCCACTTGAGCTCTCATATTGAAATCCGACAGCGCGCCTACGTACTTCTCGTCGTGATAATCGTCCAGGAAGCAGTCGTACAGGTACATTACCGAGCGCGTCAGATTGGCATCCGGCATCGTTATAATTTCCTGCGGGCAAGAGAGCCGTGCGAGAACTCGCGGCTATCGGCGGAAACGAGAAAAGTTTGCGGCCGAGCGGCCACTTAACGGTCCTCACCTTCGCGCCACAGCGGCGTATTAGATGCAGCAGAGGCGGGCAAAATCGTAGGTACATCTCCTTCAAGTCGCCCTTGATATTCTCGTCCAGAGTAGCCGGCAACGTGTTCAGCCACGAGAGCAAGAGCGGTGTCCAGCCAAGGCTCGCCGGCTCCATGTAGATCATGCCGCATCGCGACACCGTGGCGGGCGACGCGACCTGAGGTCGTTTGCGAGTCCGGTATTTTTGACATTAGGTGTTTAAAGTCGTTTACCAAATTCTCACGATTTTTCAATTTCTCAATCTCGACATTTTCCATTTTGACGGAAGCCCCAAAGAGATTTCAGGTACTAATCTTAAATATCAAACTTTAGAATCACAAGAATCAACTCAAAACCCAAACCTTGAATTCCTAATTCAAACTTGCTATGTAAACTTTTACTTTTGAGGACAATCTCACTCGTGCAAAATTGACCGCACTATGAAACCCGAAATCACCTCCAGATCCATCGGTTCAAAGATCAAGCTCGTCGTGGGCGCTAGCTGAATGATCTCTCCGGAGGTGAGGCAAAGCTTCTTGTTGTCGTCTAGCACCGTGTTCATATTCTCGATCCAAATGGCGTCTACGGGCCCGTCGAAGACGAGCCACTTCCTGTTGAGATTAGTGGAGGTCGCGAAGGCGCGATAAGACACCGCCAGGATCCCGTCGCTCCACTCGTGCGACGCGGGGTCGAACTGGCCGTACAGCTGGCCCATGGTGACAGCCTTGGGATTGATCACGCTGATCTCCACCCGATGCTCGCTCATCAGTTGCCTGCTCTCCAGCAGGCTGAGGCATTCCGCCAGCGTCCTGTACGCTGAAGTCTTGCCGCCGAACGGCAATCCGACGAGCATAAAGCCGTGTCGCACGATCATCATCTCGTAGATCTGCTGGATCTTCTCCAGGAAGAAGTCCGTGCACTGCAGATTCGTCGCGGCACAGGCTTCCTGCGTGCAGACGTTGATGTGCGTATAGTCCGGCGTCGGCAGGACCACGCCAGGGAACAGATCCGAGGCTATGCCTGAGGAAGTGGAAAGTTCAACGTTAAAACGCTTGGGATTTCTCGCTAACGAGCAATTCGCTGAATAGAAATTCTCCCAGCAAGGTCTACAAGAGAATCAGAGAACGTTGTATATGAAATATGAAATATTTGTAGGTATCATTTGGAAAATATCAGCATTGAAACTTATCAATCGTCGATAAAAGTTAATTATAATAATAAAATTACAAACCGAAAACCGTGTTCAAAAGGATAAGATTTTTCGCGAGAATACGACACGTTTTTCGACGTTGGAATTTTAACGCAACTATAATAATAATATTTTCACAATTATATTCGTAATACTTATAATAAATAGAACGTATTTATAAGACGTATTAACATTTTTAATAAATATTTATATCTTTATAATAAACGAACGTGGCTCGAAATACGTAAGAAAGCCTCGATTCTCGCCTCGTACCTTCGAACAGCGGCAGGTCGTGGAGCAAGAACTTAGGCAGGTTGACGTCCATGATACTCCTCAACATGAGAATATCCTCGGACTCGTTGGGGTAGCGCAGCTTGAGATTGCCAGCTGCGATGAGGACAGACTTGACGGCCCTCATGCCGTAATCGTAGTGATGCTGACTGCTGAGCTGCTCCGAGCACAGCTTATAGGCGGTGACGATCTTCACGGCCAAAGGTCGGCCGTTGTAGAAACCGTACGAGTACAGAGTGTTCTCCGCGATGAGCGCGTAATCGGGCACCATCATGGCGACCGGTCGGAAGAGAGCCTTGAGATTGTCCGGTAGCTCCGACCTACCGGCGTAGCCGGGGTTCATGGTGATGAAGATGGCGCAAGTGGGGTCCAAGTAGATCTCCGTACCCTCGAAGATCATCTTCTCGATGCCGGCGTTGATGCCGCGCTGGATCGTGAGGATCTGCTGGGCCACGACCGATAGGACCTCCAGGTCGATGCGGTTGAACTCGTCGAAACAGGACCAGGCGCCGCAAGAGGCGAGTCCTTTGAAGAACTTGCCGAGCGCGAGGTAGTCGAGGCCTTCGGAGCAGTTGAAGACGACGCACTGTTTCGCCACTGCCTTCGCGAGGTCCTTCGTCGTCTCCGTTTTGCCGGTACCGGCCGGGCCCTCGGGTGCGCCACCCAGGTGAAGGCTGAGCGCGCCGAAGAGAGTACGGTAGCATCGATCGGTCAGCGGAGTGATCACCAGGCGAGTCGTGTTGCCGAGGTACTCGTAACCGTAGCGTTGATAAGAGTTGATCATGTACGCCCGCATGTTGTCCTCCTGCTCGTGAAAACGTGATTGAGGTGTCGGAAATCGGAAGTTTGAGGTATGTGCTGCATTTCTATCACTTCCAGTTATTTTTTACATCATTGTACGCATATAGAAGATAGATATAGAAGGATGCTGTTATTCGCAATTAAAGAATTATACATAAAAATAATTACAGTAAGTGTGAAATAGGAGAAAGAGCATTTTTAAACTTCTAAAAGATTACTTGATTTGGTCAAATGAAGGGACTTGTTCTTCGCACGTGAGTATTTGAGTTCAAAAAATAATGGATCGCGGAAGAGAGATAAATATTACTTGATGAGAACTTGCCAAGGAAAATAAATCAACACTGATTTTTCTGATACTCGAAAATCGATCAAGAGACTAATTGCGATATTAATAAAGAGTCCGCACCAGCCAGTAGTATCTCAGTTGACATAGCCATTGGAAGTCGGTATTCTTCACCACTCCGTCCTTGTATAATGCCTCGAGGACGTCCTTGCTGTGTACGTCCAGCGTGACCAAAGCCTCTGGAGAGACAAATTCAGCAAATTGTCAATGTAAGAAATAAAAATTGTTGACACTTTTCCTCCCAAAGCTTCAGGAGATCTCGACCGACTGCCGTTCAACCACCTACCCAGAGTGGTGCGGTTCTGCTTCGAGAGTTCCCCTCGGATCAGCAGGATAATGTTATTCAGTTCCTGCTGGGACTGATCCAAATATCTCTTCAAGCCTTCGATCCCCTTAGACATGGCTTCCTCGACCTGTTGCGTCCAATACATCTGACCTATGCAGAGGACAGTCTGGCCGGGCCATTCCAGCACCCAGGTGGTCCTTTCCTTCGTGTGATATGCTAGTATCGCCTGGATCACGGCGTGTCGCACGCTCTTCCGCATCTCCGTCTCGAGCTCGACCAGCCACTTCTCTACTTGTCCTCTGGCGGCGGTGGTCGATATGATCTCCGTCAGATCGACCATCTCGCCTTCCGACGACTGCATCGACAGCACCTCGAGGTCCTCGTTGAACCTCAATCGCGCTATGCCCTCGAAGCATTTCTTCAGATGCGGTTGCACCCTGAGAAGAGGAGCAACGTTTTTACTCTACAGGATCCTGTAGTATTGAATATTACACGAGGCCATAATTATTTAACATTATATAATATAACATATAATTATATTACGCTGTAATTCATCATATAATAATACATAGTAATCATTCATGCAATTGATGAGATAATTATATCACGCAATAATTCAACCGCGAAAAGCAACCAAAAGCAAGAACTGCAAAAGATAAAAAATAACACAAAAATTACAAATTAATTATAAATACGAAAATAAGATATTAATAACTTAAATTATAATACATAGATATATATATATATATATATATATATATATGGATGGTTAAAAAAAGTCCTCTAGCCATTTTATAATTATTGCCGATACTACCGTGTCGGATCCTTTGTCTCGGACAGGATCTCCAGCAGCTCATCGTTGGAAAGGAAGAAGAATCTGGGGAAGTAAAGTCTCTTTTTCTCCAGGTAATCGTTCAGGCCCAGCTGGATCTGCTCCAAGAGCACGAAGCTCTTCCTCAGTCGTTCCAGCATCTTGTCGATCTCGACGACTATGAGAACGCGCGGATCGCTTTGGACGTTCTTCATGATGTCCCGCCATATCTTGTCGACCGTGGAGAACTTTCTTCCCTCCTCGGGCATTTGTTGCTGAATGTCCGGCGAAGTGAAAATCGGCTCGAGGTACATCCAGACACCCTGGACCTTCAGCCATTGGTCCAGGATGTCCTGCAGCAAGAGCAACGTCTTCTCCCATTTGCTGCAAGCGAATGATATGTGATATTGCAAATCAAAGATCCGTTTTTCTCTTGGAAATGGAATTTATCTCGTCAACGCGAGACAATCAAGGAAATGGAAATCAAGGAAATAGTAATTTGAGATTAAAAAATCCCAATACGAATAAAGTTACAACTTACATAATTCTGGCCTCAAAGGGCTTGATGTACGGCGAGTTCTTAATGGTCACGGCCTTCATGATGTGATCGTCGAGCAGAAGCTGTATGTCGTCGACGCCGGCGATGACGAAAGTGTCGGTGTCCTTGTAGAGATTCACCGTGAAGACCAGGTCGGTCCATTCTCTCTGCATTTTGTCGATGGCGTTCTCCACAGCGCTCTCCTTCGTCGCGTTCTCGGAGATACCCTCGAACTGAGAGATGTACGCCTCCAACTCCATGCTCAGTACCTTGCCCAAGGTCAAGTCGGGGTCGAACTTGATGGGAATGCCCACGATCGCTGAGACCTCCTCCCAGTGCCGCGACTTCATGCCGGGATTACCCAGCGTCATCACCACCGGCATGTACTGCCGAAAGTCCTCGATCCTCTCGCGAACCATGAGCGCCAAGTCCCGCACGTCCGGTTCCTGGAATCCTTTCTCCAGCTTGTAGATCATCCTGCGGCGCGGACACTCGATTTTATCACCCAACGTTTGGAAAGAAACATCGATGAAGTACCGATAAGTGTTTCAATCCTGATTAATTTCAACCTCAGTTCTAATTTATTTATAGAATAACGAAAATCCCTCTGGGAAATCTAATGGGAAATTTGTGCCTGCCATTGCAGAGCAAATCAAGTGCTGAACATCAAGCGTTTTTATAGTTTCTTTTATATTTTCTCTAACTTTTCCTTCTCTGCAATCTTTTTCACATGTCTCGACCTGTAAAAGTTTCCCACGTCATTGTCGATGTCCTCCGGGCGATACATGCCGACCATGCTGTTTATCCACTTGTCGTGCTTCGTGAGAAACTCGCAGGCGCTGTCGAAAAGCTTCTTGAACGGCTGCAGACGGTCCGCAATTCGCTTTCGCAGAGGATACTGCGTGATCTCCCAACCGAAGGCGGCCTCCTCCGCGTTGAACTTATCGATCTTATCCATCGCCATGATCAATCTCTCCTCCAGGAGCTGCGCTTTGCGCTGGTAACGATATATCTCGTCGATGTCGCCCCAGTATTGCATCTCTTCCACCTGTTTCTGGTAGGAATCCAATTCCTCCGCAAACTTTTGGTATCGGACTGCGAAAGGAGACGCAGTTTGTTTTCCAAGAAAATTCGTAGGAACTTGCGCGGGCAAGTGAGAATCACGTTAAAAATTCCCGTAATAGATACACATAGACATGAATATCGGTCAAATGTTACACTAGTTTTTTATATAATAAAAATTCAGCCGGGAGCTTTTTATATAATGATAATTCAGGTGATCGAATATCGATCGAGTCGCCGGCGAAGAAATGTGGCCGAGCGAACCTCTCAACGCTTCTTGAAACTCCAACGTCTTCGTTTCAATGATGACCCGATTGTCCTCGAAGACCTGGGGCATCCTGTGGTACAGTTGGAAGGCCCTGCTGTTGATACTTATCTCGCTGTCCGTGAGCAGCCAGTAATCCGACAGAAACACGACGTGCATGATGGTGTCCACCAGCTTGAGCTCCAGGCTCTTCATCGTGACGTCGCTGATCGTCCGCGCGAACCTGGTAAGCTCCATCAGAGCCGCGGTATTGAGAGGGGGGGTCAAGGCTCGCTGGACTATGGCTTCATATTCCGCTACAACGCTGGACGTGTAAGTTTTTTTCTCTTGTACTTCACATATAAAACGTCGATACGCGGCGCATCCTTGGAGAAAGACGCTCGCTCCGTGAGATATTCGCAAGTGGAGGATCGTTAAGGAAGAGGTTCGTCCCCTCGTGCGAGGGGAACGCAAATTGTCGCGTCGCGTCGAGATCTTAATGCGTCAGATAACTCTTGCGCGACGCAAAGGGCAATTAAAATGCGGCAGATACAATTGTCGCGCTTTCTCTCGGCGGGAGGCAGCGGCGGGTGAGAATGAAACAGGCCGCTGTTTATTCGTTATAAATATGAAGCGATGGAAAATCCGCGGGAACAATCGCGAGAAAAATCCGCGCGGCAGTGTGGACGAACGCGAAGACACCGACAATTACAATCGCCAGGCTCCTTTGAACACATCGCGATTTCTCTTCGTCCTCGTGGATTATTTACCCCATGGCGGTGGCCTGATACTTGTCGACCAGATGACGAAGCAACAGTCCTTTGAAGTGCTCGACATTGCCGGTGACGGTGACGACGAAGGGCGCGTGGGAGATCTCGAAGAAGCCGACAAACATCGTCCTCTCGACGTCCGTCGCGATTCGGCTGGCCAACTCGTGATAGCGCTTAATCTGCTCGTCGAACTCGTCCAGTTTTTTACTCTCGTCCCGCACGAAAACCTCCACCCGAGCCAGTTCCTCGCCGTTGTAGAGAGGCGCGTACCTGCAAGCAGAAAGCCGCATTATCGGGAGGTGCGTCGCTTATCGACGTCCGCCATCGCGAGTCCATGGGAATCGATAAGCACTTCTTCAGCTCGGCCATCTTCTGCTCCGGGATTATCCTCTCGTGGTCGATCAGCTCTCGTATCTGCGTCTTGAGGCGCTCCACGATGGGCTGCGAGATCTTCGGCTGCAAAGAGCGCGAGAAATCAATCACGGCGGGAATCGAAACCATGAAAACGAGGTCGGACGGTCACAGCGTCTCTCATTCTCATTCTCGGGGAATGAAGAGAAATGTGTGAAATTGGTCTGTGATCTCTTTTCAGTTTCGGAAAATCGGAGATAAGAGGCAGAGAGACCGGGTCCCGCGCGGTCGGGTTTAATAATGCATCTAATAACGCGGAACCTTGAGGAATTCTTGCGGGCCTGCCCAGTCGAGGTAGAGCTGCGTCTCCAGTCTCTCGAAATTCCTCGTCGCGTCGCATATCATCTCGAGAATGTTGCAGAGCGACTCTTTCAATTTGTCGAAGGACGGCTCGAAGACAATCTCACTGGAGACGACGAGGATGTTCAGCCTGAAGCTGCAGACCGCCGGCTGTTGGGACACGAAGAGAGGTGAGGGTGAAGCCGACGACGTTGAACGAAAACGCAAAGATAAAGAGAGATGTACGAGGGGCTCGGTCGAGATCCTCCGAAACAACGCTTAGTCGGTGTTTGGAATAAAATGTGAAACATAAGCTAACAAGCTTCGAAGAACTTGCGGAGGGGCATCATCGCGAGGGCAGATCTAATAACGCAGGATAACGCGAGGAAGGAAGAAACGATACTCTCGCTACAGCAAGAACACGCGCCGGATATGATTCCGTGACGATCGATCGCGGTCGAAGACGAGTACACGCACATGCACGAATACACTCACCTTACCGTGCACGACATAATCGACGAAATCCCGAAGGGAGTACTTGCAGGCGTTTAAAAGCTGCGACTCCATCAGGCGGGCGGTGCAATCGAAGAATTTTTTAAATTGCTTGCGTCGCAACGGGCTGGGCACCAGATTCTTCCTGTTGTTCTGGAAAAGAATTCGGATGAGGAAGTGGACGAGGAGGAAACGGAAAGCACCCACTCGGCCTTCAACACATTTCGTCCACGAACGGGTTCGTTATTGATCGTGTGATAAGCGAGAAAATGAGATGAGAAAAAAGGGGTGAGTCACTTACTCCTTTCAAATTTCTTTTCCTTTATGTCCTTCAAATACGCGTGTTTCTGATTATCGAAGAAAATTCTCGCGCGATGAGTTTCGCATACGTAATAAATATAGCCAAATATTTAATAAACTTAATGACATGAGCAGCTAAATATGAAGGAGATAAAAATAGGAGGGAAATAAAAGGGAAACTTGTGCAAATCGAACGAAATGATCGCGAATTTATTTTCTCGAAATTTTCTCACGAGCGTCGCATCTTCTCTCGTTCTCGTTCTTGAGAATCTATCTAAATCTATCTAAATAAACCATCGTCATCATCATTCATATAAACCACTTCAATATATCATCGGTCATTACCGCGAGGAATATCTCTTGGATTCCGATGTACCAGAACTTGCTGAGGACTTGCCGATTGTCGACGATCTGACGGACGATCGAGCTGTTGAAGTCCGCCAAGTCCCAGCTTCCCTCGTGCGCGCCGATGCGCTTCATGTTGATCAGACGGAATTCGCTGCGAACGAAGAGAAAAAAGGCTGCTCCGTTGGCGAAATGCGATGACGAGCGACGGTCGACTCGCGACGTGATCGCGTGAGCTCGACGGGCCTACCTGTAATCGCGCACCCAATGCTCCAGGGTCATTCGCATGCACGGATTGAGCAAGTGCAAATCGGCTCGCAGGACCTCGCGACAGCGCCGTATGTGTCCTCGCAAATCCGACCGAACGCTTTGCTGATCGCCTCCCTCGATTACGCCGAGCTGCAATCGATACTGCGGATTAACTCGTCAATGATGAAACTATCAATCTCTATTCTCCCGGCTCTCATTCAGTGAGAAAGAGATATTGAATTGTCTCTCGTTATAAGTGTTGGACAAGTTATTTACTACTTATTATATATTCTTTTATATAATATAGATTTTAAATAATATAAATTTTTATATAAAATTTTTTCACAGTATTAATTGTCGATGTTCGATCGAGAAAGATAGAAATTATTTCGATGTTCGTGGTATTCGACAAGTAAAATTGAAATTTGATGTCGATAGAAGTAAAAATTAGTCCGCCATCTCTTTTCCACTCTCTTTCTCTTTTTCTCTCTCTCTCTCTTTCTCTCTCTCTCTCTCTCTTTCTCTATCTCTCTCTCCGGGAGAATCTTTGCCCTTCGAGAGGAATGAAAACCGCTCCGTTACCTCGGGTGGATAACTCTCGAAAGGATCGGCGAGCGCGAACTCGACAATGGCCTTCTTGATATTTCTCGTGAAATCCTCCTTGATCTCGGTCATCAAATTATCGGTGAAATCGGGAAATCGTTCACGCAAATTGCCGGGGACCAAGCCGAGTATCGCGTCGAGGTAGTCTTGGCCGATGCTCGCCGTGTGAATCGTGTCGACGCCGTTGCAGATGTAATAATAATAACGATTGACGTCTTTATCGTCACTCAGATCCACGCCCATCGCCGGTAACTCTGGTTTCGCTATTAAACCCACCATAAATCTAGTCGCAAAAGAACCCATTTGAGGCGTCAGAAGTTCCTCTCCGTCTCGATGATTACATCAGAAGTGTAAGCCCTCGCGTCGCTTCGGGCTATGAAAATTCATTGCTCTGTTCGAGTTCCCTTAGAGAGCGAAACTACTACGCGATGCCCGATGTTGTACGGTTAAAATTAATTTGCCGGTTGTAACTCGACGGGTGTAATATCAAAGGTATATGACATTTGTTTGAAATGTATAATTTAATGATTTAATCGAGTTGTATGGTATTTGAGATAACGCAAACGTTTGACTGCTAATGAATATTGCGTTGATATCTAATAATAATCTAATGACACAGCTGAGCCTTTCACAGTTGAGCCTTCAATTAATGAAAATGGAGCCGCAATTCTCCCTGCGTACCTGCGAAAGTTCTCCTTGCGAAGGCGCTCCGCGGTGTAAAGACTCCCGTGGACTCTCTGCGCCTTTTCTTTTCGTTTAATTAGCTCGCCGCCTCCTTTTCTCTTGTATCTCTTAGTGCCCATCAACTCCGGCGGCAAAGAGAACAGCGGCTCTACCTTCGTATTGAGGATCTTGGGTACTCGAAACGCATCTACCGCTTTATTATTTCGCGCTATCGTCTCCTCCGTGCGATAGCTCTCCATACTTAATGATAATTACAAGCAGTCACGTTTCCGACGTGAGGCAGCGTTCAATGGATTTCTAATATTCCTGAAGAACATGTATAAAAATCAAATCAAAGAAAATATGATCGTCAATCACGTAGAGCACAAGATTCGATTTGTAACTCGATAACACAGATTTATTTTTATCGGGCCGCCTTCTCCCAGCTCAATCAATCATAAACGTGAATCGTCGTACTATCCAGATAAGGAACTTAAAATTTTTCAGAAATTTATTCCTGCTTCTTTTTTTATGATTACGCGATGATGACTTTTTTGGTAATTTTTTCGACAGAAAATTTCCCCGGCCCCCCCCCCCGCCACGGGGAAGATGGACTCTCCGCGAGGCGGTGAGTACGGACCTGCGTTGCGCCCTAACCTCCACGGTGAGTGTTTGCACCGTACTAAATGTACGTATCTATTCGTAAAAATTATAAAGCGAATGCGATTCGCCGGTGGATATACACTTCGCGAAATTAATTCCCCGGCGTTCCTTCACGTCGCATTCGTACGGCTACGCGCACGTTTTCCTCGCGTGTCAAAGGAGCGTGCGTTCACGAGGAGAATCCGTTTACGGTCGCACGATACCTAACAGGCAGCCTTGATTGCAGTCTCCAGGCAACGAGGTTCGTGATCGATTTGGGAAAATTAACGAGTCCCGCGAACGTCAGAGCCCGCGGGAGCATAATCTCGTGTCCATGTCACTCCCTCGCTGATTCGACTTCCGCGGGACTCGGGTGCTCGGTGCATGTTTTAGGTTATGTTCGAGGCGACATAACCACCTGTGTAGAGGTTATTTCTGTATTTTAAACTAGAATGGGCATAAATAATTCCATATATTTATAAGTCACACTTCACGTTTCAGTTTGAGGTGTACGTGACATCTCGAAACGTTGGTTGTTACTGTTATGAGATGTCACGGAAACCGCCTGAATATACACCCCAATTTCTTTAGATGATTAACACCTTAAAACCTTAATGACATTAATATCGCGTTTATAGATGATCCCGCCACGAATATTCCGCCTCATTCACACAAACGGCCTGCTCTGGCAGTCCTCAAACAAGTCTCTGCTGGCAAAGTTGCGCAAGAAGACTGGTTATACTTTCGCCAACTGCAAGAAAGCCCTGGAGTTGCACGAGAACGACGTGCAGAAGGTAGAAAATCCACCAGGACGACTTAAACTCGCGCAATCGTGACGTGCGCTGAATCTCTCAATCTCTTTTTGTTTCAGGCTGAAAAGTGGTTGAGGGAGCAAGCGCAGCAACGCGGATGGGCCCAGGCAGTCAAGCTGCAGGGCCGCAGCACCAAACAAGGCCTGATCACAGTGATAGTGGATCAAAATTATGCAGCTCTGGTGGAGGTCAATTGCGAGACTGACTTTGTGGCACGGAACAAGAAATTCCACAGCCTTGCAGAGACTGTGATATCAGCCGTAATAAGTCACTCTAAGAGCCAAGAGCTTCAGAACGAGGTGCAGCGCACTGTGTTCCACATGAATACTCTCATGACATTGCCAGCAGCCGATGGCAAGACGCTTGGCGATCATGCCGCCTTGACTATCGGCAACGTGGGCGAGAATATCAGTCTGCGGCGTGCACTCGCCATCAGCGTGCGTCCGGACATCACGCTGTTCGGCTGCACGCATCCAGCACCCATGAACCCCATCCCTGTGTCTTTCGGCAAGTACGGTGCCCTCGTCGCCGTCAAGTGCAAACAAGACAACGATATGCTGGGCACGCAGCTTTGCCAGCACGTTATAGGTAAATCTGCCGCAGGATAAGTAAATAGCGAAAGACATGGTCTTTTTTTGGCAAACAAGGAAGTTACATTTACGATAAAAAGATACATGATCCAATTATGTTATTTGCGTTGAAGAACAGAGAGTAAGATCTCAGTCAAGAGACGTGGATCGTTTAGATGCGTTATGTGTTTGAATGTGCAGGTATGGATCCGCAGAAGGTCGGAAACCCGCAGGTCGACGAGCCGCACGATAACACAGAGGAGGAGACATGTATGATTTATCAAGAATTCCTGCTAGATCCTAGTCTCTCGGTGCAAGAATTGCTGGAAAATTTACAGGCCGAGGTGGTCGATTTCGCGCGCTTCGAGGTCGGTGAGGAACTGGACGAGCCCACCTTAGAACCGACATTGGAGAACGTGCAGACATGCGGCTGAAATCTCAGGTGATCATCCGTTATCATCGTTTATCTAAGGTTATCATTTGTTAATATTATTAATTTCTACGTAAACACGCAGCGTGTTATTGCTATTGTCGTTTTTATTATAAAAGCAAAAGAGATCAAGGGCCAATTAGGAAGCCATAGGAATTTTCAATCTTCTGCTAACGCGTATTTTAAACGGAAGGGGATCCGTCTGAAGTATTGCGTGTCACATCTCGTCGTTAGAAATATGTATTGTAATAAAATCTACAATAACGCCAAAAGTAAAAATAAAAATTCTAATATTTGGCTTAATACTGTTATTTATAAATAAGATTTGACCAAATAATAAAATTATTATCAATCACGTTAATTTCATTCAGTGATGAAATTTAACAATAAATATATATATTATTTAATGGTTATTCAAAAATCATTCGCGTAAAATTAAAAATACATCCGTAAAAAGAATTAAAATCAAGCTACGAAAGTTCCTTGCGATACAAAGGAGGGACAGCCTTCGCTTTGGTCCTTCTGATCTTCCTCGCGAGTCTCACCGACTTCCACAGCCACATTCGAGAGTCCTTCTTCCAGTAGGGCGCGATGTCCGCCGGGGAATGCCTCGTACCCTGCGGGATAAATTGTCAGAAGTAGTTGAGCTTTCTAACTAGAAAAGGGATTCTCTCATTTCTAGATCCTGCGGATAGATTGCTTAATTTTCCTTCAAAGGAATTTTACTTTGTTATCCCTCTTTTTCTCGCATTCTCACTATGGAGTCCCGTCCCGTAATATTTAAGTCCGAATAATTAACTCACGGGCAAAATTTAAGTGACGCGAGAGCGCTCGCACCTGGAAATTCAGGATCTCCGGTCCCTGTAGCACCAACTGAAAGGTAGACTTTTCCCTCGTCCTGAAAACCGGGCCAGTCTCTTCCTGCTCGGAGTCGTTAAAGTAATTCGTCTGCGCGTCGCTCGTCCGAAGTTTCGCTTGATCCTGCTCGTCCGTCTCAAGCTCCAGATTCTCCAAAGCAGACGTGAATTTTCTGATGTCCTTGCACATACCGATCCCAACCTAAACGCAAAAATCTGTCTCTTCATTCATTATTGAAATATGTCAATTGTTATAGGGACAATCAAAAGCACACGTTAGGCCCAATGTTAAACGAAAAAAGTTGATTAGGATTAGGGAAAAGATATAAATATAGAAGATGAAATTATACAAATTTAATCGTTCACAGCCGTTAGCTTTCTGGAAATTCATTTTTTTCGGCTCTCCAGCTTCTACGTAGAAAGTCGCGACTTCTACCACGCACTTGGACTTCCTGGGACCGAACATTGCGGCCCAAGCTGGGGACATCCTTCTTCGTCCTGGTCGCGTTGTCGTTCTCATCCCACTTTAGGTTCTCGACTGTCCGGACAGAGAGAAAATTCACGTGGTCGTTATGCGACTCGTAAGGAGCGCCAACCTACCTCGAGTGTACGTACCGCTCGAGTGGTCCGATTCGTCGTTTCGCCAGTCCATCGAAGAATCTCCGCGCTGTCAAACGATGACGACGGACACTCCGCTCTGACATTTGTCGACCAAGTCCTCGTCCCTCTCTGTCACCTCCTGTCAAGGAGAAAAATGACAACGAGCGCACTTTGTTTCGAGGCTCGGATCGAAGGAACCGAAGAAATGTGTATGTATGGATTTTCATAGCGGAGCGAATGTGAACGTACACACGCTCCCATGTATGATTGTATGTATATAATTTAAAATAGCGTCATGTATGAAGGAGAACATATGTACAATCGTATGCAGGATGAGGCACCTAAAACAGGCCATCTGAATAACTTTTGAATATCTGAATATCTTCGGATATGCAAAAAATGTTAAATAGTTATAGAGGAAGTTGTAGAGTTTTAAGTGACGCATCACGCAGCGATACTAGTAACAGCGTCATCAAGGTTACGGGGAGGTCACCTTGATTTTTTTTTTAATGGAAACTCCCGCCTTTTATTGTATCATCTTTTTCTACCAATTAATTTCAACAACTTTTGTCTGAAATATTTTTTACTTGCCTGATATTTTTTGAGATATTTAAGGAAAATTTGGTAACTTTCAATATTTTGCTTACGATCTTGCTAATTATTTGTCAGAAAAAAGTGGGAGGTATTGGATTTTTTACTCTATTTGATCTCAAGAATATTACAACAGTGCCCTAATTTTTGTCATCTTGATGCTTTCGAGATTTCGGTCAGCGGTCATCAAGCAACTGTGACAGCATATTCTTGAGACCAAGTAGAATAAGAAAGTCTAACGCCACTTTTTCTCACAGAACAAATAATTTCCGAAATATCGTACGCCAAGTATTGAAACAGTTATCGGGAAAAAGATGGTACAACAAACATGTTACAACTTCTTTCAACATTCTTTTCTATCCTGCATATTTCACAGTTATTCAGGTGGCCTATTTTAGGCGTCTCACTCTGTATACGCCTGTGTAATGAAATGAGAACGCACTGATATGCAGGCGATTACACATAAGCGTGTATAATCTGAATTATATATAGTTACATATATATAGTTACATATATATAATCATACATACGATCGTATGTAATGCCGGACGAAATGATATGCACGAAATTATGTACATAGTGCGCACAATCGCACACGACGTCGTCGTCTCGCGTAGATATATAAACATATATAATTATATGTAATAATTATATATGGCCACATATAGAGAGGCAGAAGTTTCCTCTCGATTCCCATCCGAATCCCTCCCTATTTCTTCTCTCCTTTTTTATGCTCCCGTCGCCGCCTTTATTCCTTGCACTCGCGTCGTGTAAGACGCCTTCATGCTCAACGCGCCGGCAGCGAAACGAGGCATGCGAGGCGCTCATTACGTATTCTAGGACGTGTGATAAACTACCGTACAATATACCTTATCTATCAGCTGAAGCACAACCTCACAAAGCAGGAGACCCCATCCCGTTCCCTTTTCGATCCTCCGATCGAGTCGCGCTTGCGAGTCCTCCTCCTCCCTTTCCTCCTTCCATCCGTCGCCGCATCGTCCTATTCGCTCGACGTCCTTAATCCCCGCGCAGCGGGAACCTCCGAAACAGCCGCGACGGAAGCGCGAATGAGCGGCCCGGGGGAGGGGAAGGATCCCATTACGTGTTCTAGGACGTGTGTAATAAAATTGCCCGCGCTTCGTCTGTCTGTGTGGCGAAGAGGAGGTAACGTTGGAAAGGCGAGTACGCGCACACCTGTCCGCGAACGCGCGCGCGCGCGCGCGGCCGTTCGCTCAGGTGAGATCACGGAAGACCTCCGCTCTGCGAGGGAAGGACAGAGCAGGCCCCCCGCCCCCCCCCCCCCCCCCCCCCCCCCCCCCCCCCCCCCCCCCCCCCCCCCCCCCCGCCGCCGGGCCGGCGCTATCCAGCTCGGGCCACCGCCACCACCAGCTCTCCGCCCCCGCCGCGTCACGGCTGGCCGGCAGGAGTTCCGGGGCCCACTTCCGGTACCTACGCAGCTACGGGAGAGGCGGCCGCACCGCTATGGTTTCTTTTCCATGCTGGCCATCAGCGCGGCGCGGCCGGCTATCAGTTGTTCGCTTATACAGTTAGCCGCCGCGTACGCTTACGCGAGCACGGCTAAGCAAGCTATAGCAACATCCTGCTCCTTCGCGCGTGTCCCCCGCCGGCCGAGAGAGAAAGAGAGAGAGAGAGAGAGAGAGAGAGAGAGAGAGAGAGAGATGGGCCCCGAGTTGCTGAGCCGAGCGGCGAGAGAGATCGATAGCGGGAACACAATGGATCTCTTCAGGCGGGTGAGTGATAATCCGCCACTCCGGCCTTTCGACCTCCTCCGATCAGAGGGCTGCGTAGAGGTTCCGGGAGGCGACGCGTGGGCGCGAGGTCTTTCGGGAGGTCCTCGAGCTGCTGATGGACGCCTCGCGGCCTCCCGGCTCCTCAGCGACGATGCTGAGGAACTCGCGAAGGTAGGGAGTGGCCTCTTCGACCCGTGGCAGGTGCGTCCTTGGTTTATCCTTTTGCTCCGATTCGAGATGAATGTTATTTGCTCTCGGACGCCTCGGGTTTGGCGAGTTTTAACCGGGAGCCTTGGTGATCATGAGGTCATCCGAGGGGAGAGAGGATCAATGCGACGATGAGTTTCGAATTCGAGAAGAAAGGAACATTGAACATCAATGTGGGGAGAAGGGGAGCGAAGGGGGAGAGATTTGCAGATAAACTCAAAAGGAGGTCTCGAATAACCGTACAAATACTTAGCACACTTTTCGACTAAATCGCGCGCTGCTGAGCTGACTGGAAATGTGTCCAGGATGTGTGTGAGATGCCGAGCCACGAATATCGCTTTTTCATGAATTCTTCTTCGGCATGAATTCTCAATTCTCGGAGAGTCGATTAATTCCTTCCTGAAACTTCAGTGTACACTTTCATTCAGCCGGGCCTCTTGATTTTGTAATCCCCGCTCACAGCCACCTGTTTGTTTCTCCGCTCGTCCGCGGGCCGAGCAACAAATCGGCGTTTTTTTCTCTCTCCAGCGCGCGAGAACGAGGAGCGCGTCGCAAGCGTTCGCGGTCGGGCGCTCGCAAATTTTCACCTTTTGGCGCAACTGCCGCGCAAGTGGGCGTGCGGGCGGCAGTTGCGACTTCCTGCCTGTCGCGATGATGATGATCGTCGCGGATGATGCTTAAGCCGCGCGTGTGCGTGAGCGCGTGCACGTGTGTATACGACACACGTACTCGCTCGCTCGTTCGCGGGATGCGACCGCCGGCGAACGCGAGGCGAGGTGGATATATGAATGAAAGCCGCGCGAACGCCGCGCGCGCACGCACTCACACGTCGGCGAACAAAACCAGCACAATGCGACGGTGACCGCATAATGGGCCCCATCTTACCGGGACACCCGATGTGGTTACAGGTCAATCAACCCAAGCCCGAAGTGCGTAGCGCAAAATAGTCCGCCCGAAATTGCGCCGCGGCGATCGCGCGAGAGAGAAACTTCCCCCGAAACTCACTCCCTTTAGACATTCCACTTTTTTCCCCTTTCTTACGAACGTCTCTGATTTTTAGCGAGAAAATGGGGAAGTTTCGGGGCACAATGCGCAGTTCCGCGGTGAGATAAAATTAGGAGCCACAATCGGGGTATAAAGTAAAGGAAGCACGATAAGACGAAAGACGATATCACGTGTCAGATTAAGCTGGGTTGCGCAGTATTGCGCGGTCTAATTAAATATGCGCCGATTAAGTAGCATCAAGCGGATCAGAGACGCGAGGAATGAAGGTGAGTCGAACATGAGGAAGAGACACGTAGCTTCGTTCAAGGCTGCGCGTACGGTGTGTAGGCATGAGCACAACGGGCACGCGAGCGAGCGGTCGAGTGCACCTGCGAGACGCGGAGGTCCTCGCGAGCTCTGCTATCCCAGTTTTCAGTCCGCTCGCGAAGCGCGCGAACGCCGTTTCTCTCCGTTGCGAAACGCCGCTCTCGTCCCCGTGCGAATGCTCGTCCTGCCGCAATGTCATCGCGCTGAAATTTCTCGCCGATTATCCAACAAACACGTGTTTGCGTGTGCATCGGCTGAGCCTGAAACTCGCAATTTTGAGCACCCTCCGCGGTACTCGACTTTGTTTTCTCGGTCGCCCGACACGCCGGGTCGGATCTGCCTTGATGATGTTTCGTTGGTATTTCGTATTTATGCTCGAGTGATATAGCAGCGAGACTGAAGTGCGAGCTCGGCGAAACTTGAAGCGAGGTCGAGGGGGCAGATTTCCGGGCGTTTGGTGAACCGCGGCGGGACATGACGAGCGTGTTGTATCCTGAAGGTTTAAACGCCGCCATTCCGCAGGACGACAGGAGCTGCCGCAGCGATGACTCCGGCGGCGAGGTCTTCAGGAGCATCCCGAAGAACAGCAGCACCTTCCGCGTCTGGAAGATCGAGGTGAGCTCGTTACCATCAACCAGGACAGTTGCCGGGTGAGCACGCAGTTGCAGCGTTTCCCGGTGACAAAGGATATAATAAATAATCTCGATTTACATTTTCATATTCCATATTTCTCCGGTAGAACATAAAATCTCTCTCTCTCTCTCTCTCTCTCTCTCTCTCTCTAAATTAAAATATTCGGCAAGTGAAAAGTATTGTAGTAGAAAACAAATTGTTCGTGATAATATTACGATTGCCAATAGAGAGTCATTAATTTTAGTCATTAGACTTTATCAGATATTGTCGAAAATGCGATGCTGATCAATCATGTTGGACTCTTTCATGTCGCGCTGACAACTCGACTTTGCCACTCGCGGCCGTGTCTTCAGGGTCTGCGAGCAACAGCCGTGCCTGGCAGCAACATGGGCTTCTTCTTCACCGAGTCGGCGTACATCGTCTACGCCGTGTCAGCGAAGGACGGCGCTCTTCCTTACCCGGGAATGCCGGTACTTTTACTTCTATTGTCGTCGTGAGAGAAACCAAACGAAAGCTCGCCTCGCATACGAAATGCACGATTCCCGAACTCTCCTAACGAGCTCCTCCGCTATACTCTCGCCTCTTCGCGCTCCCTAGCAATTATCATAGCAAGCATTTCTTCCCGGCCGAAAATCTATACTCTCGTCTAAAATTCAAAAATCCCAGATGTCGCACAAAGAAAATTAATATTCCACTTGCAAGGAATGACGAGTCTCTCTTAGTTCGACGAATCGAGGCGGAGAAACGAGACGCGGCCAGAAGAGAATTAAATCAATCCTGCGTCCTCCCACTTTTAATTCCTTCCGTTTAATCGCAGATTAAATCCGCAGGAACGATCTTACCTTCTTCTTTTTTTTCGAAAACCTCTAGTTGAAATTCGATCTCCCATTCAGTCGGCTCTGTTGTCCGTAACGTTTTATCCCGTTTGGCAGATCAAAGACCTGAAGGGCACCGCGGTGGTGCGCGCCATCCACTTCTGGATCGGCTCGAGCTGCGACTCGACGGCGTCCGGCGCCGCGGCGCTCCGCGCCGCCGAGCTCGACTCCCAGATGTCGGCGACGATCCTGATGCGGGAGGCGCAGGGTCGCGAGAGTCCCAGGTTCCTCGCTTACTTTCGGCAGCGTCTGGTCATCGAGAACCTGCACTTCGAGACATCCGCCTGCACCCTTCATCGCGTCTCCGGTGTGGCCGTGCCGATCTTGACCGAGCTGGAGAGGGTGCACTGGGAGCACTTTAGCTCCAGAGACGTCATCCTGCTGGACGTTCGGGCAAAGTGCGCGTGGCCGCAAGTTCCTCGTGATTGCGCGCGCGTGCACACACATACACACCATGTACAGGGTGTCCCACAACTCAGTACAAAAAATTCGTGCAGACATAAAATGGATTAAGGCAAAGGCAAACATGAAAGTCTTGTGCCGTTTTGCCCAATCGATTCAGCAACTGTTGGCGGCGCGCGGCGAGATAAAACACGAATAGCGGCGCATTGTCCTTCTCCTCGCCGCGCGTCGGCAACAGTCGCCGCATCGACTGGGCTGAGCGGCTACAACACTTCTCCAATCTCATCCATCTCGGCGCGTGTTTGCTCATGAGATTTCTGTCATTAATAACTCAATAACTATCGCGAATATTGCGAAACGGTATGCGACTTTTATGTTGGTCTTAACCCGCTCTATGTATCTACGAGCTCTGTAAAAATTGTTCTGCGACACCCTGTATATCGCAGCGGTGATCACGCGCGCGCACTTCGTGCGACGATCGTTCCCTTTTCGCTTTCCACCGGACGATGTGGAAATCCGCCGGTGAAAGTTTCCGCGCGCGCGAAATAATGCTCGCGCGCGTGTTGCGGGAATTGAGCAACGACGAGTCTGATTCTTGTAATGCTAAATGAGGCTTAATAGAGGCCTCGGAGGTTTTCCAGAGGCCTTTAGCATACATTTCCCGTGTTTCGGTGAAACACTCTCTTTCTCTCGAATATTACTCATTTGTCAAATGTCGCTTCAGATGTCGCAATTTCCAAATCCAAAATTTTGTCATTTTGTGTCGCTAAAACGATGAAGATCGAACACTCATATTATTAATAAAATGCAGAAAATCTGCCTCTCCGATTTTCCGTCGAGTTTCAAGGTTTCTTGAAAGGACGGATGAAAACGCTTCTTCTTAGTCATGAAGGATTCCTCTAAGGAAGTCCTCCTAAGGATTCCTCTCATTCTCAGCGGAGTCGTCTTCTTGTGGCTGGGTTCATTGTCGGAGCCACTGCACAAGCGGCACGCGGCCAGTCTGCTGGAGTCTAGGAAGGAAAACAACAACGGCCAACGCGTGGTGGTGGTCGAAGACGGCTACGAGCAGACGCTACCTGGCAACGACAGAGAGCTCTTCAGCAGCATGCTGGAGCCGTCGGCGAGGGTAGTGGCACCTGATCGCCAGCACCGCGTGAACCCACCCAGCCCCATCAAACTCTACCGATGCAGCGAACAATCGGGCAAATACAAGGTCGCCGAGCTCAAGTCCGGCCCGTTGCTGCGTAACGACCTAACTTCCGCTTCAGTCTATCTGGTGGACCGCGGCGAAGCCGGAGTTTGGGCATGGGTGGGTCGTGACGTGAACGCTCGCGAGAGCCTGGAGGCGGTGAGGAATGCGCGCGGCTTCGTCAAAAAGAAGAATTACAGCGACGGCATGCCGGTCGCCAGAGCGACCGAGGGTCATGAGCCGGCGGAGATGAAGGCGTTGCTGAGAGGCTGGGAGCCGTCCAAGACGAGACCGTTGACCTTGCCGTTGAGCTTCGAACCTGATTACATGAACGAACGACCCAGGATGGCGGCGGAGTGTCAACTGGTGGACGACGGGTCCGGAGAGAGGAGCCTGTGGCGGGTGGAGCAGAAGGAAGGCATGGTCGAGGTGGACGATAGGGGCATTTACTATGCGCAGGCCTGCTACGTGATGCTGTACAAGTACGGCCAAGGACGGAGATGTCGCAGCATTGTATGTGTCGCTCTATCGATGAGTTCAATTTATACTGGTATAACTTGATTGATAACGTTGGACCTATCGGTTTAACGTTTATTTTATGTGTTCAAGTATTCACCGAATATGTCATGTCTCTTCAGGTTTACTGCTGGGAGGGTGTCCACTCCGTCAAAGTGGATCGAGACGCGGCAATGACGGTAGCCTGCCGCTTATCCGAAGAAACGAATGCGCAATTAGTAAAGGCGTCTCAAGGTAGGGAGCCGCCTCATCTCCTGCAGATTTACGACGGAAAGCTGAAGATACTCGCTGGACGTCATCGCGATTCGCGTAAGTCGTTCCTTTATTTATTATTACGGCAAACGAGTGAAAACAGAAATTAACAGGGAAGAAATGTAAATAAAAATAACACGTTGATAAGATTTTATTTAAATCAGCGAGACGTTGTTGAAGAAAAAACCTGGACATATTACAAAAGATAACATTTCGATTTAAATTTGAACACATGCATAAAAGTTGGGGTATAGAAGAGCCTGAAGAGAACCTGGTGACACAGTCCATTGTAATAATAAAGTTATTTTCCACTTGCAGCACCGAACAAATATCTGGTCAGAGTGTTCGGATCGACGCCGTATACCTCAAAGGCGGTGGAGCGGCCGCTGCGAGCCAGCAGCTTGGACTCCAGCGCGGTGTTCATTCTCTTCTCCAACTCGCCGGTCGTCTGGTGTGGCGGCAAGAGCACCGGCGACGCCAGACAGGCATCGCGACGTCTTGCACCCAGGAATGCTCCTCTCATCGTCGAAGGCAAAGAGAGCGATGACTTCTGGATCGAGTTTGGAGGTAATTCGGGAAGTTACTTGATAACCTTTGACTCAATGACTCATGACTGTATTTTACTTTTGTGTCTTCAGGAAGAGGCACTTACAGCACGGAGACCGAGGAAGTTGGCGAAGAGCTGGACAAGCATCTGTTCCAGTGCAGAACCGAGAACGGCCTTTTCGTGGGCGAGGAGGTCCTCGGATTTCGGCAGAATTCTCTGATACCGGAGGCCGTTTGGCTATTGGACACTGGCAACGTGATCTGGGTGTGGGTGGGCAAGTTCTCCAGCCCGCGGACGCTGCAGGAGTGCGTCGAGGACGCCACGGTGTACCTCTACACGCACCCTTCCGGTCGAAATCGCAATACGACAATTTCTATAATCAAGCAAGGTGAGTTCCAAGCATCGCTTTCGATGCCGTCGAGGAGAACACCGAAGGCGTCTCTTGCGGATGACGTGAGAACCGTCTTAAGGACTTCCAAGAGTTTTTAATCCATCGGATGTCTTTTAAATGCGTGGGTCTTCTCTTTAGATCTAGATTTTCTTCTTAGATATTTTCTTTGCTCATTTTTATCCAAACTGATATATTTCGCGTCACCTGGGATTCCGACGCTCTTCAGGTTCGGAACCGGCCACATTCATCGGGCTCTTTGACAACTGGAATCACAATCTGCTGAGGGATTATAAATCATTCGAGGCTTTCTGCGGCCTACTGGAAGATAGGGAGCAACCGGTAAGGACTCAGACAGCCACAAAGGTAACCACAGACTTTGACAATTATATCAAGTATCCATTGGCGGTGCTGAAGAGCGAACCGGAGAACTTGCCGGCCGGCGTTGATGTGCGACGCAAAGAGATGCATCTGACCTTCGACAACTTCATCGCGATCTTCAAGATGGAGCCCGCAGAGTTCGAGAAGCTGCCAGCTTGGAAAAGACAGCGGCTCAAGCAAGCCGCTGGGCTCTTCTAACGTTTAACATCTTTCCCAAAAGTAATCCCGAGATTGTTACAATTTTTTTTCCCGGCTCGAAAATTATCAATACTTTCGCGAGCCGTCGATATACATTCTTCTTTTAAAGTGTGGCTTACAATTGCCACTAATATCGTTTGATTTTAACTAACTTTTCATCGTAGCTCGTCTCTTTTTGCGGAAAATTATAATCTAAAAATCGTACATTTTGCCTTCGCACGACTTCGATTATGATCTTTATTATAAACATCCGACTGCATGTTACAAAAGAGACTTCATTCGCCTGCAGAATTCGTTTATGACTTAAGTTTAGGGCTAAAAACACCGAATTAAGTTAATACGGAGCTTCATGAGGAAGTGTCCATCGGTTCCTCTCTGATCGTGCGCACCGTCTCCTCCTCTACAATGATCGGTTTTACCGTCTTGGTGAGCACCGCAGTGGTACCGTGCTTGTAGCGATAGTTGAACTGTCGCTGACCCTTCACGCTGGCGGTGTCATACGGCCGTAGATATTCAACACCGCTCTTGCGGATTATGCAAAGGTCCACGTTTGAACCGGATGCCAGGTCGTTGAACACACCAGCGCGAATTGCGTCCGCCACCAGTTGCTTGGCCTCCTCTTCCTGATATTGACGTAACAACCATTGTTAATTTGAGATCAAAGTGGCATTTTTCATAAGAGTAAAGTAAGTTTAATATCTAATTTATATGCAATAGACAAGAAAAGTATACAAATATTTTTTAATAAATATAGGTATGTGAATTATACCAATATATAAATTACTAAGAAAAATCCATTAAATTTACATATATAGAATATAATAAAACTGCGAATTACATAAGTGTTAAGATGAAAAATTACATTTAAAATATCCTGCAAATAATAAATTAATGAGTAAATGTGTAATAAAGATAATAATAAATCCAAAATAAACTATAAATTTAACCCTATAAATTTTCACTCATCGTGGACTTCGATTCAACTTCACTGTTTATTTATCTTTACTTGTAAATCTATTTCTAATCTCTCTGATTCTAAGTCCTAAAAATTCTCACCGATAGATCTGGCTTCCATCTGCTTTCAAAAACTGCCATAGCAGCCAATGAACCAGATCCCATGGTGGTATACTTTTGCTTCTCAGTAGAACCATGCGGGAAAATACAGTATAACTGAGGCCCATCGAGATCATAGCCACCTAATACAAGCGCAGCACCGATATGGCCCTGATAACGGAACAACATTTGCTTTATCATTGTGTTGGCAGTGCACACAGGAACAATACGGCCAATATTTAGACGGTGCAATTCCAATTGGCTAGCTATCATTTCAGTGGTCATTTCAGTATCAGCTGCAGTACCTGCTCCACAGCAACTGGGAGAATAATTGGTATCACTCAGTATAAGTACTTGCAACAATAACTGTTTGTAAGCAGAATAGCCATTATGCTTACTACATATTAGGAGCCAGATAATGGATCTTCAAACTGTATTTATCAGCCACAATGGTATCCTCAGTGGCTCTTGTATCACCACCAAGAATAACACCATCTTTGTATACTATACCAGCAATAGTAGTACCTGTCTTCACTGCTTTTGGGGCAGCAAAGCCTTTCTTGATCAATGCATTGTTCCTGTATAAAATAAACATGAGTAAAACAGTAGTCTAAGTACAGTAAATCGATTATAGATTACAGATTATAAGTACAAAATAGTACACACTTTTATACTACGGAATAAAATATAATTAGAATTATGTAAATAGCAGAAATTGTAATAAAATAATTAAAACCACACTAATTATTTCTCAAGTGGATACCAATAACTAATATTATTTAATAATTAACATTTTCCGCTTTGTCACTGTCACAACATTTTAAACAGGCAAAGAAATATTCTTAAAATAAAATGAAATTTATTATAGTTCTACTTTCCTCATATACTTTTCATATTTCGCAAATATATTGGGTAGATTAATATATTGGGGATAATGTTACAACATAATAATCAACAAGAAGTAATATTTCTACGACTGTGACACAGCAATATCGGTAAGCACAGGTTATCCTCTAATAATTATCATGAAACAAATGTAACATATTTCTTGCGTATATGATCGTCACCTTTGACAAAGATCGAAAGAAAAGCCTGCCAGCGGGATTTCTGGCACGAGATGCGAAGTCATAATTAAATTTGTTCAAGTATTAACGATTACAAACGTTGTCACCGTTCACTACAAGAAAACTGATCTAAATTGACAATCAAGAATGGCGTCAAAGCGAAGCGCTTCTATGGCTGGTATTCATAGTCAGGTTTTATGATTAAGAACGCCTTAAGTTCATCTTCAGTTACTTTGTAGCCAATGAAATAATTTGTACAGCATCTGAAGATGAACTCAAGACGGTTCTAAATAAGATCCGACTATGAATAACGGCCTATGACGGACGATGAAAACTGGACTTGTTCCGAAATTGGTTTGAAAATTTTTAGTTTTAATTATAAGACTGGTAGGCCTTAAACTAACTTAGTATGTTCTATAATTAGTCAGTGATCAATTATCAAGATTAATAACAAGTAATGAAAAATCTATTCAATTTTTTATCTAATACTGCAAAATCAATAGCTAAAGTCAAATTTATAAACAGAATAATAGATAGCAATAACGTCCAAGTATGATCAGTTGATCAATTACGAAACATACCTAAAGCCCATTCTAAATGAATCGCACAGTCACAAGAAAATTGACCAATCATAGTCGATTATTTTTCGATAGGAAGAACAATCGACTGTGAATGGTCAATCTATCTAAAGCCAGCGGCACACGCTGCTTGTTTTCGTGCTGGATTGATTACTGCATGAAAATACTGCGTTCTGATTGGTACTTTTCCGAAGATGGATGAAAATGCACCAATCAGAACGCAGTATTTTCATCCAGTGAGCAATCCAGCACGAAAACAAGCACCGTGTGCCGCTGGCTTAAGATCGCAAGGCTTAAGTCCGTATCAGACTCAGTGATGACAAGTCGTGAGAATTTTTCCAATATGGGAGCCGTTGGCGCATGCGTGAGCATGACGTCAGAGCTCAATGCAAACGTTTCTAGTAATGGATGTAAGCGCAGATAGTAGGCACAAATAATGCGCATGAAAGGTCACGCGTGTCTGTCCGTTACAGTTGTTCCGCGTTTTTCCCGCGAGTACTTAGGTTATATATTCATAATGTAAAATGTTACAATAAATAAATGTAGTGATAAGTGTAGTGATAAGTTAAGAAAGAGCTGTGATAATATATTGGCTGCAGATGTAAAAAAAATAGAAATTAATAAGTTTTATTATTATCTTTTATTATTCATATATAGAGGGATTCGTAACGGTCAAAATAAGCCATCGAGCGCCTCAGTCAGTTACGAAATGTCGTCGCAGCAGCCTAATACGTCAACCAGTGCGTCCTCCGTTCGCTCCACCTACAGCAGTGAGATTCATTCAATCATTCGGTTCCTCACTTTGCGTAACGAATCGGCGGCCAGTATCCATCGCCAGCTCGTAGAAACTTACGGATCCGAAGTAATGAATCGTCAGAATGTTACCAAGTGGATTAGGTCGTTTAAAGAAGGCCGTACCGACACTCACGACGAAGAAAGGAATGGAAGACCGTCTGTTATTTCAGAAAACCTTGTGCAACAGGTTGAAGAAAAAGTTCGCGATGATCGTCGTGTGACTCTTAACACCCTTAAAGAAAATTTTCCACACGTTTCACGAAGTCTCCTGGGTCTCCATACCATGTAAATTTCAATAAAATATATTCATTTTTCGATTTTAAACAAAACACTAGAACACTGCAAGCGCGCGCCATTTTAGCATATTCCATATTTTCATATTAAAGTTAAGAATAAATATTATAAATAAAAAATAAAACCTCGAATATAAGTTCGATAATATCCGACTCCAACATACGATGTATTAGGCGCTTATATTTTGAAATTCCATAACATATTTCCTGCATAGTAACACGTCACCGTCTAACAAATGAAAATTTCAACGTTTAGAATTTCTATTCAAGACCATCCTAAGCTCTCTCTCTCCTTCTCTCTCCCTCTCTCTCTCTCTCTCTCTCACACACTTGCACAATTTCCCTCCCTATCTTCCTCATACCCCTCTCTCTCTCTCACACTCTCCTCTCTCTCTTTCCTCTACTCATTCTGTTCTTCTGTTTCGTTCACTCTGTTTCGTTTCACAGAGAGGGTGTGTGAGAGAGACTGAGAAAGACAGAGGGGGAAAGAGAGAGAGCGAGCGGGGAAGAGATAGAGCATAAGATAAGCTTTTTTTGTCATGCAGGGGAAATCCTCATGTATATCCCCGCCCCTTAGGCAGGGCAGGGGTTATGTCGGACTTCTACCGACTAAAATCCCTGCAGGATGCCCACCACTCGGACCATGGTGGGGGGAGTCAAGGGAACTACGGCTGCAATTTTTATAACATAAAATAATAAGTTATAAAATAAAATAACGAAAATATATCAGGTTAACAAGTTCATAACATCAAATAAAAAGCTACAATTTATTTCCTTTTCTCGCGTAATGGTAATAAATTTATAATTAATATAATAAACATATTGTAACATATTGTGCGTATTGTATATAAAATATATTTATTTTATATATTATGTAATACCTATTACAATAAAATGTACTAAAAGGATTAAATAAAAAAGCGTTTAAATATGAATTTAGTTATTTTATTATTTATCCTATTCACTTCTCATGCATCTCTTATACCTAAATACCCGAAATATCCAAAGTCCTTCAGATTACCTGCCTGAAATTCGGAATAGCTCCACAAGGTGTGAAAACTCCGTAAAAAGGAAAATTCAAGAGGTAGATTCCGGATTTCTGGCAGGAACCCTAAAACTTCTCGTTTTCTTCGTTTTCGGATTTTTGTATCAGGAACACATGATAACCGAAGATGTGTTGCGGACTTCTGGCGGGAATCTAGAAGTTTCCCATTTTCTCAGTTTTCGGATTTTTGTATCAGGGACACATGATAACCGAAGAGGTGTTCCGGACTTCTGGCGGGAATGTAGAAGTTTCTCATTTTCTCAGTTTTCGAATTTTTGTATCAGGGACACATGATAACCGAAGAGATGTTCCGTACTTCTGACGGGAATCTAGAAGTTTCTCATTTCCTCAGTTTTCGGATTTTTGTATCAAGGACACATGATAACCGAAGAGGTGTTCCGGTTTTCTGGCGGGAATCTAGAAGTTTCTCATTTTCTCAGTTTTCGGATTTTTGTATCAGGGACACATGATAACCGAAGAGGTGTTCCGGTCTTCTGGCGGGAATCTAGAAGTTTCTCATTTTCTCAGTTTTCGGATTTTTGTATCAGGGACACATGATAACCGAAGAGCTATTCCGCACTTCTGGCGGCAATCTAGAATTTCTCATTTTCTCAGTTTTCGAATTTTTGTATCAGGGACACATGATAACCGAAGAGGTGTGCCGAACTCCTGGCGGGAATCTAGAAGTTTCTCATTTTCTCAGTTTTCGAATTTTTGTATCAGGGACACATGATAACCGAAGAGGTATTCCGGACTTCTGGCGGGAATCTAGACGTTTCTCATTTTCTCAGTTTCCGGATCTTTGTATCAAAGACACATGATAAGCGCAGAGCTACTCCGCACATCTGGCGGCAATCTAGAAGTTTCTCATTTTCTCAGTTTTCGGATTTTTGTACCAGGGATACATGATAACCGAAGAGGTATTCTGGTCTTCTGGTGGGAATCTAGAAGTTTCTCGTTTTCTCAGTTTTCGGATTTTTGTATCAGGGACACATGATAACCGAAGAGGTGTTCCGGACTTCTGGCGGGAATGTAGAAGTTTCTCATTTTCTCAGTTTTCGAATTTTTGTATCAGGGACACATGATAACCGAAGAGATGTTCCGTACTTCTGACGGGAATCTAGAAGTTTCTCATTTTCTCAGTTTTCGGATTTTTGTATCAAGGACACATGATAACCGAAGAGGTGTTCCGGTCTTCTGGCGGGAATCTAGAAGTTTCTCATTTTCTCAGTTTTCGGATTTTTGTATCAGGGACACATGATAACCGAAGAGGTGTTCCGGACTTCTGGCGGGAATCTAGATGTTTCTCATTTTCTCAGTTTTCGGATTTTTGTACCAGGGATACATGATAACCGAAGAGGTATTCTGGTCTTCTGGTGGGAATCTAGAAGTTTCTCGTTTTCTCAGTTTTCGGATTTTTGTATCAGGGACACATGATAACCGAAGAGGTGTTCCGGACTTCTGGCGGCAATCTAGAATTTCTCATTTTCTCAGTTTTCGAATTTTTGTATCAGGGACACATGATAACCGAAGAGGTGTGCCGGGCTTCTGGCGGGAATCTAGAAGTTTCTCATTTTCTCAGTTTTCGGATTTTTGTATCAGGTATACATGATAACCGAAGAGGTATTCTGGTCTTCTGGCGGGAATCTAGAAGTTTCTCATTTTCTCAGTTTTCGGGTTTTTGTATCAAGGACACATGATAATCGAAGAGGTATTCCGGTCTTCTGGCGGGAATCTAGAAGTTTCTCATTTTCTCAGTTTTCGGATTTTTGTATCAGGGACACATGATAACCGAAGAGCTATTCCGCACTTCTGGCGGCAATCTAGAATTTCTCATTTTCTCAGTTTTCGAATTTTTGTATCAGGGACACATGATAACCGAAGAGGTGTTGCGGGCTTCTGGCGGGAATCTAGAAGTTTCTCATTTTCTCAGTTTTCGGATTTTTATATCAGGTATACATGATAACCGAAGAGGTATTCCGGACTTCTGGCGGGAATGTAGAAGTTTCTCATTTTCTCAGTTTTCGGGTTTCTGTACCAGGGATACATGATAACCGAAGAGGTATTCTGGTCTTCTGGCGGGAATCTAGAAGTTTCTCATTTTCTCAGTTTTCGGGTTTTTGTATCAGGGACACATGATAACCGAAGAGGTATTTCGGACTTCTGGCGGGAATGTAGAAGTTTCTCATTTTCTCAGTTTTCGGGTTTTTGTACCAGGGATACATGATAACCGAAGAGGTATTCTGGTCTTCTGGCGGGAATCTAGAAGTTTCTCATTTTCTCAGTTTTCGGGTTTTTGTATCAGGGACACATGATAACCGAAGAGGTATTCCGGACTTCTGGCGGGAATGTAGAAGTTTCTCATTTTCTCAGTTTTCGGGTTTTTGTATCAGGGACACATGATAACCGAAGAGGTAATCCGGACTTCTGGCGGGAATCTAGATGTTTCTCATTTTCTCAGTTTCCGGATCTTTGTATCAGGGACACATGATAACCGAAGAGATGTTCCGTACTTCTGACGGGAATCTAGAAGTTTCTCATTTTCTCAGTTTTCGGATTTTTGTATCAGGGACACATGATAACCGAAGAGGTATTCCGGACTTCTGGCGGGAATGTAGAAATTTCTCATTTTCTCAGTTTTCGGGTTTTTGTATCAGGGACACATGATAACCGAAGAGGTAATCCGGACTTCTGGCGGGAATGTAGATGTTTCTCATTTTCTCAGTTTCCGGATCTTTGTATCAGGTATACATGATAACCGAAGAGGTATTCCGGACTTCTGGCGGGAATGTAGAAGTCTCTCATTTTCTCAGTTTTCGGGTTTTTGTACCAGGAATACATGATAACCGAAGAGCTATTCCGCACTTCTGGCGGCAATCTAGAAGTTTCTCATTTTCTCAGTTTTCGGATTTTTGTACCAGGGATACATGATAACCGAAGAGGTATTCTGGTCTTCTGGCGGGAATCTAGAAGTTTCTCATTTTCTCAGTTTTCGGGTTTTTGTATCAAGGACACATGATAATCGAAGAGGTATTCCGGTCTTCTGGCGGGAATCTAGAAGTTTCTCATTTTCTCAGTTTTCGGATTTTTGTATCAGGGACACATGATAACCGAAGAGCTATTCCGCACTTCTGGCGGCAATCTAGAATTTCTCATTTTCTCAGTTTTCGAATTTTTGTATCAGGGACACATGATAACCGAAGAGGTGTTGCGGGCTTCTGGCGGGAATCTAGAAGTTTCTCATTTTCTCAGTTTTCGGATTTTTATATCAGGTATACATGATAACCGAAGAGGTATTCCGGACTTCTGGCGGGAATGTAGAAGTTTCTCATTTTCTCAGTTTTCGGGTTTCTGTACCAGGGATACATGATAACCGAAGAGGTATTCTGGGTTCTGGCGGGAATCTAGAAGTTTCTCATTTTCTCAGTTTTCGGGTTTTTGTATCAGGGACACATGATAACCGAAGAGGTATTCCGGACTTCTGGCGGGAATGTAGAAGTTTCTCATTTTCTCAGTTTCCGGATCTTTGTATCAGGGACACATGATAACCAAAGAGATGTTCCGTACTTCTGACGGGAATCTAGAAGTTTCTCATTTTCTCAGTTTTCGGATTTTTGTATCAGGGACACATGATAACCGAAGAGCTATTCCGCACTTCTGGCGGCAATCTAGAATTTCTCATTTTCTCAGTTTTCGAATTTTTGTATCAGGGACACATGATAACCGAAGAGCTATTCCGTACTTCTGGCGGCAATCTAGAAGTTTCTCATTTTCTCAGTTTTCGGATTTTTGTACCAGGGATACATGATAACCGAAGAGGTATTCTGGTCTTCTGGCGGGAATCTAGAATTTCTCATTTTCTCAGTTTTCGAATTTTTGTATCAGGGACACATGATAATCGAAGAGGTGTTGCGGGCTTCTGGCGGGAATCTAGAAGTTTCTCATTTTCTCAGTTTTCGGATTTTTATATCAGGTATACATGATAACCGAAGAGGTATTCCGGACTTCTGGCGGGAATGTAGAAGTTTCTCATTTTCTCAGTTTTCGGGTTTTTGTATCAGGGACACATGATAACCGAAGAGGTAATCCGGACTTCTGGCGGGAATCTAGAATTTCTCATTTTCTCAGTTTTCGAATTTTTGTATCAGGGACACATGATAACCGAAGAGGTGTTGCGGGCTTCTGGCGGGAATCTAGAAGTTTCTCATTTTCTCAGTTTTCGAATTTTTGTATCAGGGACACATGATAACCGAAGAGCTATTCCGCACTTCTGGCGGCAATCTAGAATTTCTCATTTTCTCAGTTTTCGAATTTTTGTATCAGGGACACATGATAACCGAAGAGGTGTTGCGGGCTTCTGGCGGGAATCTAGAAGTTTCTCATTTTCTCAGTTTTCGAATTTTTGTATCAGGGACATATGATAACCGAAGAGGTATTCCGGACTTCTGGCGGGAATGTAGAAGTTTCTCATTTTCTCAGTTTTCGGGTTTTTGTACCAGGGATACATGATAACCGAAGAGGTATTCTGGTCTGCTGGCGGGAATCTAGAAGTTTCTCATTTTCTCAGTTTTCGGGTTTTTGTATCAGGGACACATGATAACCGAAGAGGTATTCCGGACTTCTGGCGGGAATGTAGAAGTTTCTCATTTTCTCAGTTTTCGGGTTTTTGTATCAGGGACACATGATAACCGAAGAGGTA